CAGTCAGCAGAAAAATATTTAACATTAAAACAAAATAACCATTGTCTTTATTGTAGTGATCATAAATGTGTAATAAAAGTGTCAAATATGAGGATTTGTGTCCAGAACATGTTCATCCACACACAGATCTCATCTCCCCCCCTCTCACAACCTCAGCATGGCCACTCTCCAGCTGACTGTAAATTGTGCTGCTGTCAGTGACCGTCTATAGGAGCTGATCTTTACGCTGTGGCGATACGAGGAGGAGGTTGGGAAGGATCCATAGTTTCCATTAAGAGTAATTTCTTATCTTATCATTTGCTGAGTAAACACACAATCCTTCCAAGTGGCCCATTATGAACAGAGACAACGCCCCAGTGTGTAAAATCAATTCATCAAAACAGCAGAATATAGAGCAACTTCAGCTCTGCTGGCAACAAAGATGCATACCGTGGCTTTTATTTTGAAAAATGCTTCGCTGTTATAGTACGCACTTTTGTTTTAGTGGAATACTACAACACATTAACAATCATGGGAGGAAAAAAAGGAAGGCACTTTGTCAGTTTGTTCCTTGTGTTTAAAATGTACTCTGACATGATCTGCAGGGTTTGAAATACGTCTCATTATATTCAACATAATATTCATATAACAAGCAGCTTTTATTGTAGAGTCTAAATTACTTTAGAGTTTTGATGAATAGCTGTGGAGTTCAAAGGAAGATATAATAAACATGTCCACATCTTTACAATATTTTCTATTATTTGCAGTGCATACAAAGATCACAACTTTTTGTAATATTACTTTTTTTTGCAACATAGCAGCATATCTGTTTTGGACCAGATCAAGATCAAGACCAAGATCTGGGTCAGTGTCCAAAATACCACTACAGGAGACACTGTGCTTCTAATAGTAATTAAGGTTGTATATATTCAATGATTTCACTCAAATATATACCCCGGATCCATCTACCTTAAGTAGCGAAATTGCATTGTTGTAGTTTCATACTGGAGAAAGTCTCAAATGTCTCTATCTGGATGGAGTGAAGAATTGTTAAGTTTGGATTTACTTTCCCAAACTAAACTCTGATGCAGCTTTGTGCAATTTAGGTATAAATAAATTTGTGCCTGACACTAGTCACATCATGAAATGCCATCCTAAACCAGTTTCCAATGTCATGGCCAGAAGAGCTACAATAAATTAAGTCTAACCTTGCAACAATGTTTTATATCAAGTATTTTTTCCCCTGTTGATGGGCATTAATACATTTCTGGACAGTAATAGATTAGTTACAGTAAACACAATCTATGGTAATCCAAAAACACAGCCCTGAGGCACACTGCACATGCATTATTCTGTTCTTGTATTGTGTAAAGTTGTGTTATTTAGATGAGCCTGATAGGGGTAAAGGTAAACCAGGCCTTAAATAAATCAGGATTTTACCCCTACCTGCAGGTGGTGGATTTCAGTGTGAAGTTTCAAACAGAGCAGCAGTATTTTTTTTTTTTTCTTTTGATGTAGTTCTCGCCCTTCTCTGCTCCTCTCAGCAGGAAAACTCAGCACAAACTTTTAGTCAACTTTCTTTTTTAGCAGGGTTGGTGATACTGGTGGTAAATGGTCTCAGGAGCTGTGTTAGGATTCACCATTAACTGCTAATGAAAAAGTGTCATGATGAAGGGAGATACAGTGAGGGTTACAAACCGTTACAGCTCCAAATAAGTGACACAACATTTTATTTGGAGCTTTTTGCCACAGTTTTGTGTGGATATGATGTCTGTGAATGACATTTAGAAAGTGGGATTGAATATTTGACCAGTAGGACTCCTGAGCAGACCCCTGATCTGACAAATTATACCACAGACCTTTGTCCCCAGTCCTGTCCTCCCTAAATAAAGACAGCAAACCCCAAAAATAAACACACACACAAAAAAAAATAACAAATCCAACCTCTATTTGACAAAAATCATTACAAAGGATGGCTTTCTTTTTTTCCTTTTCCTGTCCTCGGCTTTTTAGGCCGGACCTGACAGTGATTGATGTTTTACGTTTAACCAACCTGCATCATAATGTTAAAGCCTCTGCACTGTAAAAAGTCAAATATTTGCAACAGATTTTGTCTTATTTCAATTTTTTATTTTGCTGTTGTTGTTTACAGTCTTATTCAGTTTACACTTTTACAGTCAAACAAACAAGAGAATGGACATTTAACCAGGAGACATAAACACTTCTAATTCTGTATCTGGGTGACTCTGAATTGTTTAGGGATGTACTGATGAAGCAGCTGCCTTCATCTGTTCATCTCAAGTTACAGGAATGAGGTTCAAATGTTCATTAAAGTCCCACTGGATTGAGATTCACATTGATTTTCACCCTCTGCAACAACATCCTGACACAGACAGCATAATTTATCTTAATTCACACAAAATAAGCTGCTGATGGACTCTGTAAGAGTTATGTAATCAACAAGAGAAATCTAGAAACAGGTTTTCTCTCTAACTATAGCTGAGTTATAAAGCTGTGGTTGGTTTCCACCATTAATGTCATAGCAGATTGGTTGCCAGCTATTTGGTCTAATGGCTCCATGACATGGTTTATATCCTTTAATTATAGTTAGAATAGTGCCTGCTCGGCTGTTTCTGAGAAAGCCCGCCATGTGGACCCGCGTTGTCAGCTCTTTCTGCCCTAACTCGCTGAATGGCAGCTTCATTGGTTGTTAGCAGAAACATATGGAAAGTCCCTCTCTGTCTATGAACTTTTTCTCCCAGTATGATGATCCAGAGTGAGCCTGTCCATCATCTCCATTGTCTCTGATATCAGTATGAACTCTGTCTTATTTTATTAAATTCTGCATTCAAGCTCAGATCCTTCTGATTCTGAACTAAATAACTTTTTTTTTGCATGTTAAAGTTCCAGTAGGACAACAAAAGCTGATAAATTTTTTATATTTCCATTTGCCACATGTCATGTTTCAGTTCAATCTTGGTGAAGATGTTGAGGAGAGGAAGCTGTGACGCCCTCCACGCTCTGCACACCTGCAGAAACGCCTGCAGAGGCCTCGTATGTATTCAAGGTTTGCTCTCCTCCTTCGGCATCATTAGTAACAACCTTTCAGAGGAGCTGATTGGAAGGAGCAGCGCTCTGCATATCAACAGGAAGTTACATCCCCAGAGGGTGGCGGCCTGGCCAGAAAGGTGTAAAGAGGAGTTGATGGAGGAAGGTGGTGGAAATAAATGAGTGTGAGATGTAAAACCTTAAAAAAGATGGAGGTAAGTAAGAAAGAAGTAGTTATTAAAATGTGTTTAAAGCAAAAGAAGTTTCACATCCAGAACTCTCTGAAAAAAACACCTAAATCAGCATTACTTCTGCATGCAATTTCACAAACTCATGTCTATTAAAATGCTCCATGTCTATAAAACTAACACAACCGAAGCCTACTGTCAATGTACCTGGATCATCATCTTAGATGGATACAATGCAAATTATTTCCAAGCAGACCTTGACAGCTATGGCCAACCACTTAACTCGCATTGTTGAAAATGTGTTTTCTGGGCATCTCTGTTGCCAACTATCTGTCTGGACTTGACTTTGAGAAGGGGGAGGAGGACTTCCTGCATTAACTGTGCTTGACCAGCAATCTGGTGTCCAATGTTGCTTTAACACAAAAAAGTCATTCACATCTTTACATGTCAAGTCGATGAAAGTCACATTTAGATGTTTTTGTAAGACAACATGAAAGACGTGATCGAGGTGGTGCAAACTGAGTGAATAATATGTGTGCATGATGTAAATTTGTGATTCATGAGAGTTGAACAGTCTGGACTTGTGTGAATCATTCAGTCCCCAAAAGCCAATCAGCATGTAGATTTCCTGGAGATGTACTGTATGTCAGCTACAGGACAATAGAGCATAGCCATGATGGTGACGGGACATGGCTACGTGAACTATAGGATATGACTCTTTTTAAAATACCAAGCCAGGAACAAAAAAAAAAACTCTACTGGGGGGAAATAGTGTGAGGAGAATCTTCTGTTAAACTGTTTAAACACAACCAGTCCTCACAATAAGGTCAACCTTAACTAAGAAGCAGTGGGTGGTGGCCAGACAGGTAGGGGGTCCGGGGGAGGAGACCCTCACACCGTTTGAGCAGCGGGTGGTGGCGATTATTATTATAGGGTAAGTGGCGTGTCACACAAATGTCCACATGCTTTGTCATCCCACTGAGCAAAAGACGTATATTAGACGTCTAGTCTAAGTTTATACTTCATTTCAACGTCAGGATTCAGTCTATTTTTAGATGTGATTTATACTTCGCCCTTAACTTCATTTTTCGATAACTTTTTATGCAATAAACAACTGTAATGTGCATAACTGACCTCGAAATACTGGATTACATTACCTATGATACCGTGGAGAGAGATGTAAACGCAACAGATACACAGAAGCAGGAATTGAAATGAACCAATATTTTTATTGTGTCACAGAAATCAATGTGTTGGCTGTGTCGCCGGCTTGCGGAACCCCGGCCCGCGGCAGCCAGTCCGCCGGCTCGGAGTCGTCGGCCAGGACCAGCGGCATTCGGGCCAACACGGCCCCCGGCCCCAGCATCAGCACCAGCATCAGCACCAGTGCACCGACAAGCGGTGGAGCGTCCACCAGCCGCGGCGCTTCCGCTGGACCACCCGGACGCAGTGGAAGGGTCCTCGCGGAGGGGGTCCTGCAATCGCAGGAAGAAATCATCAGGGGGATCGCGGGGATCAACGAGCGGCTGGACCGGCTCGTAAATGTCCTCGAGTGTCTGGTGGAGAGAATAAATTAATTTGGCTCATTGAACTGTGTATTCACTTCTTACCCATTCACACTGTGGCGATGAGATTCTCCCGCGTGAGGACGGCGGCCCGGCAGGGATCAGCTCGCATCCCTCCGTCTGCTGCTGGTTCGTCATGTGGGGCGGCGTGCTGCTCGGCCACGGGTATGTGGTGCACGCTTGTCACATAGTGAGTCACCAAACACCGCCACACAGCGTCGCCAAAGTGCGAATCACAGTCAACGCAAGTATCGTCTCAACGCCAATTTCTACACCACCTCCTGACTTTGCATTGATTAGCGCTGGAACCGACGCTCGTTTCGCGATGATAAATCTGGACGTGTGCGCCGATTTTGGCGTACGCAAGGTTTTCTTGCGCCGCAAGCGTTGATACATAAGGCCCCAGGTCATCTGCCGCAGCACTCCATCACTCTCCTTCTTGGTCAAATAGCCCTTACACAGCCTGGAGGTGTGTTTGGGGTCATTGTCCTGTTGAAAAATAAATGATCGTCCAACTAAACTCAAACTGGATGGGATGGCATGTTGCTGCAGGATGCTGTTGTAGCCCTGCTGGTTCAGTGTACCTTTAGTTTTGAATAAATCCCCAACAGTGTCACCAGCAAAACACCCCCACACCATCACACCTCCTCCTGCATGCTTCACAGTGGGAACCAGGCATGTAGAATCCATCTGTTCACCTTTTCTGCGTCTCACAAAGACACGGCGGTTGGAACCAAAGATCTAAAATTTGGACTCATCAGACCGAAGCACAGATTTCCACCAGTTTAATGTCCATTACTTGTGTTTCTTGGCCCAAACAAATCTCTTCTGTTTGTTGCCTCTCCTTATCAGTGGTTTCCTAGCAGCTATTTGACCATGAAGGCCTGATTTGCGCAGTCTCCTCTTAACAGTTGTTCTAGAGATGGGTCTGTGGCTAGAACTCTCTGTGGCATTCGTCTGGTCTCTGATCTGAGCTGCTGTTAACTTGCGATTTCTGAGGCTGGTGACTCAGATGAACTTATCTTCAGAAGCAGAGGTGACTCTTGGGGCTCTATTTTTGTTCCTCGCCAGCGACATGCTGTAGGCGCGGCATAATTCAGGTCTGCCGCACCGACAAGTAGTGCCCAAGCACATTTTGGTATTTTGGTGAGCAGTGCAGCCTGGCGTAAGTATCCCCCCTCCCTAACTCAGCTCCTCCCAACGGCATAAGTCGTAAAGAGGGTGTGGAGTGGGTTAAACATAGCCGAGACCTGTTTTCGCCAATCGGAACCACTCCTCTCTTCACCTTTAAATCCGCCACTGGCGAGGGGTAATACAATTTTCGTGAAGTAGTCAAAGAGATCAAGAGATGTCTGAAGACAGCAATGCCACACGATGGCGACAGAAGGCACTGTAAGCGCTGCATTGGGCATCCTGCACGCTCTCTCATATAAGCACAGATGGATTTGGTTTGTGTAATGTTGAGCCAATGGTAAGACAAACACCCTTTTCCACAAATAAAGACACTCACATAAAGTTGCATCTATTTAAACCTCACATGACGAAGGTGAGTTGTGTGCACAGATCACAACATAAACTCCAAAAATGGCATTAAAATCAGAACCATCTGTGCATAAATGACGCATCACGTTCCGTGGCCTGGCTCTTTCTTTTATAGATGTTGGCATATAAAATAAATTTGGCTCACAAAACTGAATATTATCATATTCGTATGTAGGCTTCAAGTAATAACTCATCTGAGCACTGAAACAAATCATCTGTTCAGTCGCAGCAGCAACAGTACGGGGAGAGGACACAGAGACATGTCCAGGTCGAGCTGCGCAAGAAATAAGAGGAAGAGGAAGATAGACATTTAGGGGAGACAAATTAAATATCTTGTTAACTTCATCATGTGTGTCTATTTACTAGATATTTAATTTAATCTAATGCGGTTTCAGCTGTGTTGATTCGGTCAGGTTGTGTGTCCAAACGCGTGCCAAACACACTCTTTAGGTCAGATATAGATCGGAATATATCTATATAGATCTAAATGTATGTGCTGACTCAGATTATTTGTTGATGTTGATTATTTATTGCACTGAAATGTGCCTGAAACTGTGGAAACCTGCCGCTGAGGCATCTGTGACGTAAGCGCGCTACGCCTACCGGTCTGCAAAAATACCACTAGACCAGCTGCGCTCTGCCTGCGCTGAAAGCTGACTGGGTTTGAATCGGCGAGCTTTCAGGGCACTTACTAAGCCGCCGGCGGGCACAAAAATGTCAGTGCGCCAGCTGATTCTGTCGACACCTCCCTCTGCCACGCCACCACACCCAGCTTGGCAGACCTTGGTGCACCTCAGTCTACGAAAAACCAAACTGGCTGTACACCAGGCTCCGCCAGACAAAAATACTACTGGACAGGGTCTGCCACCCTCCGCCGCGTCGCCAGCTCACACAAAAATAGAGCCCTTGGTGTTCCTTTCCTGGGTCGGTCTTCATGAGTGCCGGTTTCATTGTAGCGGTTGATGGTTTTTGCGACTCCACTTGGGGACACATTTAAAGTTTTTGCAATTTTCTGAACTGACTGATCTTCATTTCTTTAAGTAATGATGGCCACTTGTTTTCTTTAGATAGCTGATTGGTTCTTGCCATAATATGAATTTTAACAGTTGTCTAATAGGGCTGTTGGCTGTGTATTAACCTGACTTCTGCACAACACAACTGATGGTCCCAATCCCATTGATAACGCAAGAAATTCCACTAATTACCCTGAAAAGGCACACCTGTGAAGTGAAAACCATTTCAGGTTGTCTACCTCTTGAAGCTCATCGAGAGAATCCCAAGAGTGTGCTATGCAGTAATCAGAGCGAAGGGTGGCTATTTTGAAGTAACTAGAATATGAAACATGTTTTCAGTTATTTCACCTTTTTTTGTTAAGTACATAACTCCACATGGGTTTATTCATGAATGTATACACTACCCTTCGCAACCAGGTCAGCTCCTCCTCTCCCCTCCCTCTCTGCTCCAACAAGCCCCGCCCACAAACAGATGCTCGTGCTTGCTCATATTGTTCATATAATGTAGATAAATACTTCAGATGATTGCAAATGGGGTACAGTCAACATGAAAGTAAAAAGCATTGGTACTACTGTAGATGCCAACAGACTACCAGCAAACACAATGTTTGCAGGACAACTAGCATGAAGTGACACCTTGGGTCAGGGGAGCAGTGGTGGAGGAGTTGCCGTTTATGTTGATGAATTGTTGGCGATTTTTGAGGTATGATTTAAACCAGGAGAGGGCAGTGCCAGTGATGTAGATTAAGTCATGAAGACGGGAGAGGAGGATGGAGTGGTGGATGGTGTCAAAGGCAGCTGTGAGGTCCAGGAGAATCAGGATGCTATGTTTGGGATGGAACCGGATTGGAAGACTTCAGACCCACTTCAACTCCAACAGCCTCTTTGAAGTTGAGAGGCAACAGCACGTTCTAAGGGGGTGTTCAGACCAAACGCGACGTCGGCAACGGCTCCCAATGCAAAGTCTATAGACAGCCGCGACCTGACGCGACTTGGTGACCGCCGGCTGCCTGCGATGCGACCTGACGCGACTTGGCGACCAGGTCGCGCATGGTCGCCAAGACGCGTCGCCGAGGTCGCGTCGTCGAGGTCGCAGGACGCCAAGTCGCGTCGCTCCCAAAGTTCAAATATTTGAACTGTGCCTCCTGAGGCCGGCCGGTCAATGGCATTGGAGGAGGCCAAGGCTTCGGCCGCCGGGCTGCCCATGGTTCCGGGAGATCCTTCGGTTGCCTGGGAAGGAGCTACGGTGGTTTCGTCAGCTGGCAGGTTGGATGAGGAGGCCGCCTTGCTGCCGGTCGGTGTCTGGACCGGGCTGTCAGCTTCATTGATGGTGGCCTGGGCCGGGTTTGTGAGCCGGGATATGGGCAGCTGGAGAAAGGTCGTGGAGCTGCTGGGAAAGGCCGGGCGGGGTGGGGAGACACCATGGGCATTTTGTTTTTCGTTTTTACCACAGATTACAACCTCGGACCACGTTGGACGTGCAGTAGTAGAGGTGGATGAAGGCCAGGGGCTGTTGGGGTCCCAAGGTAGCATATCGTGGAGGGAAGCCTGGAGAGAGACGAGGTGGCGGGTCTGCTTGAAGGCGACACCCATGCAGGCGGTGAGTAGAGCTGATTTGGCTTTCAGTTCAGCAGACAATCTGCAAATATCCTCTTTGAGACAAGTGTTTGTGGCATTTGCCTTGTCCAGTTCAGATGTATGGAGGGGGAACGTGGAGGTGGAAGAAGCCATGATGGTGGTAGAGTTTAAACAACTGAGTAGGCCCAGTAGTTTTCCTCGGTGGCGGCTCTCCGGTGTCCTCAAGGTCTCCTTCCTCCATTTGCAACCTTGGACTCATCTTTGATACCCACCTCACTTTTGAACAACACATCAAACAGGTCACTAAATCAGCCTTTTTTCACCTCAAAAACATTGCCTGTCTTCGCCCATCTCTCTCCCTCCCTGCAGCAGAAACCCTGGTCCACGCCTTCATCACCTCAAGGTTAGATTACTGCAACAGCCTCCTGTATGGTCTACCCTCCAAACTCCTTAACAAACTACAGATAGTCCAGAATTCTGCCGCCCGCCTCCTCACCCACACCCACTCACGAGACCACATCACCCCTGGCCTCCTCCGTCTACACTGGCTCCCCATCAAGCAACGCATCACGTTCAAGATCCTCCTTCTCACCCACAAAACCCTTCATCATCAAGCCCCTTCTTATCTCACCGACCTGCTCCAGCCTCATGCATCCCTCCGTAACCTCCGATCCTCCTCTGCCCATCTCCTCACCCCAAAATCATGGCCCAAGCACCGAACCTGGGGGGATCGGGCATTCTCCACACCTGCCCCTACCCTCTGGAACTCCCTACCACCCTCCATCAGACACTGCCCTGACCCCACTACCTTCAAAACCCTTTTAAAAACTCACTTATTTAAAATTGCTTCTAATATTTAACTGTTTTATTTTACTGTTTTCATGTCTCTGTTTTATTATCTTGGGTTTTACGTTCTATGTAAAGTGGCTTCAAGTGTTTTTAAAAGTGCTGTACAAACAAAATGAATTATTAAAAAAAAAAAAATGATACTCCAAGACCCGAGGTAAACAGTTTAGGTGCGCTACAACACGCAGCAGGTCTCGTTCGACAAGAAACACTTTTGTTACACTTGGCTTACTTTGTTAAAGCGGTTTACCTGTCCAGTAGAAAGGTTACAGGGTCTGTAAGATCCTGAGGTGTCCCCTATCGTTTATGCTGATGTTGCTGATCTTAGCTCTTGTCAGTCTACCTATGTTTTAAGCGCCCGTTATTCCTCTAGAGTCTCCAGTATTTACTTTGTTTTATTGCTTGTGTTTTCCGTACTGTCCAATGTTGTGGCACACAAACTTTTTTTGGGCTCATGCATGTAGTCTTAGGACATGGAGCATGCCTCACAACATGAGGAAGCAGCATCTGTCTCACAACCAATCAGGTTGGGGGAGGTGGAGAATGGCTTTATTTACAGTCAGAGAGAGCGGGCCGCTCAAAAGTTTTAAAATGTTGACTACAAAGACATAACAAAACACAGCGATATTGTTATATAACCAAATGTCATCAACAACTAATAGCTATTGACTGAGATTAAAAGCTTTCTGTATATACACCACAGAAAAAGACATTTCTTTAACAGATTCCTGCCTACCCCACCTTGAAGTTATTTTGAGTGCCATCACAATACTGCAGCATGGTTACCTGATTCCCCATACTCTAGGGTGGTAGTGCATTATCACAGAATGTGCATGTGTTAATCATGCATCAAGAAATTAGTGGTGTTTAACAGAATTTGTGTTCACTCGTAGTTGTGGTAACTTTAACATCACTAATACACACGTGTTAATCATGCACCACTCTTTCTCTGAGGACGGATAGCTGACATTTCTTGCAGCTCATATGTTTTTGCAACATTTTACACCACCAGGTGCATTATAAAATTAGGCTTTAATGAAAAATGTGTTACATGATGATGCAGGAGACAGGTAAGCCTGAGATTTAAGTTCTTGTGCTGTTTGATTATCAATCTAGATTGAATCAGGCAGGATTTGGTGAAGAATAACCATCAATGCCTATTTTCAGAAAGTAAAAATCATCCTGGACATTGAAAGTCTAGAGATTAAACTGTTATGTTTGAATTATAGTTTTAGATACATTCAAGTTGACATTAATAAACTGATATCAGCATCAGATAAGGGGTTTTCACTAAATGTCAAGATCTATAAAGTTATTAAAAAAAAATTATTTATTTTTATGACAATGGACATTGTAATTAGTACATTGATGTTGAATGCATTTTGAGCACAGTGCAGATATATGAAGATGATTGCAGCAGCTCTGTTTTGAGACGATTTCTGTATGTATAATTTTAATGAAGTAGTTCTGAGGATTCTTATATGGCTGCACATCCAGCAGCTGTTTGATCCCTCAGCTCCCTCCTCTCTGCTCTGATTTAACACCTCTGACACAACTCATGTTTCTAAAGTTCACACAACACTCTATTTAAAGTCATAAGAAATGTTGGGCTGAAGCACTGAAACGAGGAAGAGAAAAGCCTTCAGTTCAGTGGAGGAAAAATAAAAAAATACTGTGATGTAACTTAATGAAGACATCCTCAGCCGGAGAGCGGCTCTGCAGAAAAGGAGTGAAGTATCACCTCAGCAGGAGGAAAGTGAATCAACAACACACCTACAGAACAAAGAGAGTGGAGTGTATCGGTTCATCTATCAACTCCATCTCTCTCTCTGTCTCAGGCAGAAAAACCATCAGTCACATTTTCAAACAATACTCTCTCCATCTTTGTCATCGGGCGCTGCACAACTACTTTTCTTCGAACGTCTTCAGAGAAATCTGTGCAGAGAGAGCAAGAGCTGCACTCCTGGGTCAATCTCAGAGAAAAATGGCCAGACTGGCGGTCTTGGAGGTTTTACTTGAGGAAGCTGGTCCCTCAGTGCCCCTGCTGTGTGAAGTTAAATTCTGAGAAGTGAGGTAACTGTAACACAAAGAGAACGTCGACATATTGATGCTGCAGAGGCTTGCTAGAAAACATTGATTCAGAGGGTGTGAAGACTTCTAGGTGAAAAGAGCTTCTATAAAAGTGCCATGAGTCATTGTGGTTATCGCTCAGCTATGAGTCTGTGACTGAGCAGAGGCTGTACACACAGGTTCACATACATATACCAGCCAGCTCCTATACAGTAAAGTAAAAATGAACAAATATTTCTGCACCGAGCCTGGACCTTTACAGGCTCTATGACAACAGGGTCTAAATGACTCAAAGATGCACAGGTTTGGACCTGTTCCTGTGGATTCATACAGATGGCGACATTAAAACCAAATGGTAATGGCCCAGTAAGAGGGATGAAAGCAAGTCCTCTTGAGACTAACTCCAAACACATGAGGCCTTGTTGTCCAATAAGCACAAAGCATTTTGGCGTGCAGTATAAGCGTCATGGTGTTTTCTACCTGATGCACCATTTCACGCCCAGAACCCACTTTGAATCAAAAGCATATGAGCTTGCACACATCATAGCGCCCACAGGAGTCGTGGTTTTGAATTAAGGTATGGTCAGGCACTATCATGGCATGCTGCTATCTTGAGGCCACAGAGGATGTCTGCGCCTTATACTGCAGACACACCAGAGGCAGCTTTGTGCACCTGAAAATTCACCCCCATTCATTTGTACAGCTAACTGACCTCTGGCTGCAAAGAGAGTTTCAGGACACTGGATGAGACTGGCTACACTGTCCCACCATTTTAGAGTGTTTGTTTAATTCAGTGGATTTTCGAATTCAAGACAGCAGATGACAAGGCCAAAATAGGCAGGCGGTGTCCTGGTTGTATCTACATTTTTTCAGACCACCGAAAACCAACTCAGATGTTTGTGGAGCAGTGCTTTCCTGCTAATCAGGTGGTGCATTGACAAAATCAGTTATCAGGTATAATCTCTATGATATCTACACTTTAATTCTTTATTCAGTTCTGAAACTATTTTGTTCATCAATTCATGTGTCACGGAACGAAATCATTTATTTCTGCATGCGGATATATTAAAGGGGGGGGGGGGGGTGAAATTCAAAGAAAGTTAAAGGGATATTCCAGTGTAAATTTAAGTTATGGTCAAACACACCGTAACACTGAGTTAGACACCCCCTCGAGAGATGAATGATGCTGACTGCTTGCGTCTGTAGTTTAACAAACTGTAGTAACGACCGCAGACAGCAATACACAGTAGCCTATGTCTCCAGTGCAAACCTCAACCAAAAAGCCACTCTATAGCCACAAATAATGCTCAGATCAGCACCTAACTTCATCAACAGCACATATAGGGTCCCAGCCATAGTACTAGCCATCAAACATCTCTTTAACTTTGCCTGGTTTCTTTAGCAAAGAGACTAAACACAACTCACATACTCTCCTCCAGCAGCCGCTTGTTTGCGGGGGAGCCCTGACGTGTCGATCACTGAGTGCAGTGGAGTTTTGCTGCTCAAGTAAGAAACTTTCAGTGAAGTAATAATATCATAACAATCATTTTGCACTGCAGACATGGTAGTTTATCTGCCCTACATCTCAGTCTGATTGCATTTCCATGAAGTAATAATCATCAATGTTCGACCATACCTTAAATTTACACTGGAATATCCCTTTAAGCAAGGAGTTAAATAAAGATGTCAGTTACATGATTTACCTGATAACTTTCTTAGGATACACATTTAGAATAAAAGCATTGTTTGGTGACAGTCACTGACAACAGATCAGGTTTTTATTCTGAAAGGCAGAAAGTGTCACCATGTTTTGCACTTCACACCCAGGAAGATTCTTTGAGGTTGTGGACAGAGATTGTCTTGAGACAAGGTCGATAAACCTTTTATTTTGGCCAAGAAATGTCAAGTATTTCACCATTAGGATTAGATTTGAACCCAGACATCAGTCCAGTAGCCCTAGCAGCTTCATTTAGGAAGAGACGGTAATAAATTGGACAAAAGTCTAACCAAAAGGAGGATAAACATGACTGTATTTCACCGACTGCTCCTATTTTGTGGCTGAAACCTTTAAGTCATCCAAGTCAGAAATTGCCACAGGAACAGAGTAATAGCAACACCTAGGGCACCCTTAGCCCCACCGGACAATGTGAGGGGGGCTGACAGCCCAGAATTCATTGACATGCCTCCGAGAGGTTGTTCTCTAATAACATATCGATCCAGCTGGCCTGATATGCAAAGCATCTGCCAGGGAGTGTCGCTGCCTAGGTGAGACAAATGCCCCCAGAAAACCTTCAACCTGGCTGTTGATTAAAGGAGGTATTAGGGCCCATGATTACACACAAGCAGCATGTTGGGTAGTCCACATCGAGCCATGTCAGAGCCTGTCCTCATTAGCACATAACATATTACACCTCAATGACAGTCATTCAGATTTTTATCTCCTCCTTTGTGTTAATAAGAGAAAAATAAAGCCCCTTGAATTAAAAGTAAAGAAAAGGCAAAGAAGCTAAAAAAAAAAGCAGTTAAAAACATTTCTTTTTATACTTTTTTAAACCTGCTGTAATTAAAGCTCAAACCACATTTTCTAACCAGACCTCATTAAAAAGTGTTAGAAATAATTCAATTTTCTGAGTAAATCTAGAGGATTAAGGACTCTGGAGTGGTTAAATCATTAGGAGGAAAGGAGATGTTTTTGTGTTTTCTTGTGTTGGTCTGCATATTGAGTCAACTCTTTGAGTAAACTCTCACAAAACTTTCTGAGACATCAACACTAAAATAACTTGATGTTTGCAAAGGAGAAATGTAACTTTCTTATTCAAGACAATTACAGAATGACCTTTAAAATCAATCCTAACATTTTAAATCACACATACAAGTTTAAAAAAAAAAACAAGTTAGAGAGGATATAGAATTCATTTGTTGGGTGTTCTTGTGCTTGTTGTCCTCTTGAAGCTGTCGCTCAGTATTCCTCTGAGAAAACCAACCCACAGAATAAAAGCAGAGATACTGTAAGTGGTTAATGTCAGGCAGCACTGACGGGGAGATTCCCTGTAAAAACACAGTCCTCTAAAGGTCAGACATGACATTCTACTTTAAATGAGCCAGGTCGCTGTGGGTGAGGACTTACTTAGGCCTGGACGTTATTTGGAAATACCGGAGCGTACCCCCTCTGACCTAAACATGGACGGAACAACCTTACATTTTTATCACTGGTTTTTAACCCAGTGGTCTAATTTAACGTATGATTGGAAACAGGCATGTTATTTTTATTTAAACTGGAGGATGATAAAGAATTAAACAGGTGCTTCTCTGATCTGGACAGTACTATGGAAGACGAAAATGAGCAGTTTAAAATGTGCTTTAAAGAGATTGGCAATTCACCCAAACTGTACCTTACCTTCACCAAAATTTGATCCCAGTTACTGTGTCTGTCTGAAGCAGCTGTTTCACTCAGTTAATGAGATTCAAGAGTCTAAGTGACTACTGTGTTTCGCTGATAATACTAATCGACATCATTTTACATCCCTCAAAAAATTTGTGAAAGCAAAACAACAGGAAAGTGTTTGTTAAAAATAACTTAATCAAGAAGAGGTGGCCTTCGCAACTTAAAATGAGTGATTTTAGTAAATCAACACAAAAACACTTGAACCACTGAAAAAAGTTATGAAATCAAACAGTGACCGTATGAGGAGACCATGTACATATGTTTGCCACTTTACTAGACAAAATAAATAAAAATGATTAAAAAAAAAATGTGAGTTTTATTACAAAAAATAGCTGCTACTTCTGTCTCTACTCCTCTACTGTTAGTTAAAGCTTTGTGGGTTCAGAGTTGACTCAAGAGTTGTTGTGTTATCAGATTTTCACCTCTCAGTTATCAAGGTCATAAAATATTGTGACAATGTTAAAATCACACATTTTTGTGAAAACTAAAAAAATAAAACACAATCAGTCAGACTGGGAAAAGGCAGGACAAGGACTGAGCAACCCATTATTTCATAAACTTGCTTCATAATTATTGACATAATGCTCTTTTGAAGGGGGATACCATGTCCTGGCTTGTTGCTCAGTCTTAACAACTTAACTTTGATTTTATTTTTGTGACAATATGCTTCAATCTTGTAACTTTATACTATAACCTGATTATCAGGTGCCTGTGTTCTCATTCTCCTTTGACTTTATTTTTGTGACACAAAGACCTAAACAATGTTTTAGAAATATTTTAAAAAATCAAAATCTTGAATCTGTTTGGAGAAGATACAGCCTCATCAAACATTCTTTTTTTTTTAAATGATTTTATTATATTGTGATATCCTTTCTGTTATGTGTTTGGGTTGTTATAAAACCCATGTTTTTACACTTCATCCAGCTGCTTAGTTAAAATAACAATGAGAATGATTAAATGTTAAATTGATGTCAGTTTTATAAAGTACTCATTCATTTTTTTAAAGGAATGCTACACCTAGCTCCCTGGCAGCTGCTCCTTCTTCGTCTTCCTCTTTCACTCGCATAGACGACTATGACTAAGAAGTCACGGTATTACTGCTGGCTTATTTTAAGGATTATTTCAATATTTCCTCTTATTTAATCAAAAGGTAATTACATTGAACACTGATTTACTGCAACAGTTCCAGTGCACACTCATAAATTAATGTACTAATCATTCATTTAGTTTCCAATTTTGTTTTTATCATTTAGGTATAAAAAAAGTCAAACAGTTTCATCAACTATTGTATCCCCTATAAAAGTAAACTCATCTTTGAGCCTTCTGTTTCTTGTTTCTTATGCATCACTTTAATGCCATACATCTAAATGCTGAAACCATAGACTGTATATACTACGCACAACTTGGTTCCGCCTTCCACCATGTACGCACCCCACCACTTGCGCAGTAGCATTGTGCGCATTTGGCTGGTGAGTCACTGTGATGCTCAGCTCAAACAGCGTATCCCCCCAGGAGAGCTACGCAATCCTTGTGCACCCATAGGCTGTATCAGGTGTCAATCATAGAAAACATGAACCCCCTAATAACTTTTAAATATGGAGCTGCACAGAAAAAAGAGGACTTGAGCACAAACCAGTCTAACAATAACTAAATGTCAACATTACAACCAGTTGGAGAAAAATGTATGTTCTGTGTAATAAATTTCTAAAGTTTTTCCACAGCCCCATCAGCTTTGCTGGCGGAGGTGGGATTTATGACCTATACTGCAGCCCGTCACCAGAGGGTGCTGTTCTTGGAGTGGCTTCACCCAGCAAGGAGGCAGATGCTGTCCATTCTATATACAGTCAATGGCTGAAACCAACACCTTAAAATATTTGTAGATTAACTTGTGCAAATGTTCAATTAAATAAATCCCCTGATTATATGCAGTGAACACAGAGTTTTTGTAGAAATTGTAGTTTTTGTTTTTTTACAGCCATATCACAAATGATCCATGCTTTCTCCTGAGAAGTATTATCTTGGGAATAATTATCACAAATCAATGATTTTTCTGTTTGTCTAACTTGGTGACTATTTTTGCTTTACGGCCAACAGAATCCTCTCCTCAAAAGCCAAACCCTGATGAGAGAGATCTAGTTTATGCAGCTGTCAGAGGTTTGTCCATTTTTTTGGGAAGTTCAGTGGAAAGCCATTTGTCATCTAGCTCTGGTTGACTACAAAAAATTACTCAGAATTCAAATGGTCATGTTTCAAGTTCTCAGTTTCCTTTGATGACATGAAGAGCAAGCAGCCAATCTGCTGGCCCTGGCTCAGACACAAAGGCTGCTAATTAAAAGTCTGTCCGATCTGTAGTCCTGCTCGTATTGGATGGCAGAGCACAGCCCTCTGTTTTGCATTTTGATGTCTTCATCTTTGTAATTGTTGGTTAAGTCGCTCTGCATTATTGATGAGCCCATACGCTGAAAACAAAGCAAACAATATGCATGCCAAACAAATGCCCTGCAGTGCACAATGTTCACACAGGCCTTCAGTCTAATCACTTTTACTCGTGGTGTCTCCGAGTTATGCACACAAACATTTGCCTTGGGCTGTTTCAGAGTTTGACTGGAAAAATGCCTGAAGGAGGGAACACAGAGGCAATTACACGCTCTGTCTACAACTGTGTGTTTCTGCTCACTTTTTGGGAATATTCAAAATGGCACATGCTGTGCAACGCCTTTATCTCTAAAGACTGTGTATCCCAATAAAGTGTGAACTTGTCCTAAACAAACTCTAACAGTGAGTCTGAAAACCAAACTTTTTTTAATGCCTGTAGAAACAGATCTACCCTGAAGTGAGCCGAAACTCTGGAGGAACATCACTAGCCAGTTTAACAAGCAGTATCTCACAGTAAAGTATGTTAAAAGTTTTCATTAGTTTATTCATTCACTTCGCCCTCTTTACCACACAAACCACCATGCAGGAAATTCCTGTTAAAGCCGGGCTACTTTTTTACATTTCTTGGTGTGGCCAATAAGAATAATTATTGAGGTGCTCCAGTAGATATTTCCATCCTGCTGCTGTAACCACTGTCTATAAAAGAGTGGAAGTAGTCTTGGTGATGTCCATCATTGGTTTCATGGTGATCTCCATGTTAGAAGAGATGCAGTCAACTCAGCCACACCCTAATTATGCAAATCAATGCATCACTCTTGTTCTTGGTCTCTTAAAAACAGGTAAGCTTCAGAAACAGAAATCACTCACACTGTGTACTTATAAAACTGGTCAGACAAGGCTGTAAACTTGTTAAAGTTTGTTGTAAAGTTGTTCATTTTAGTGAAGGCGTCATTGGGACTTCCTTTGATACTGGAAACAACTGCAAGATGATTATCATGTTTTTTAGCCCTTCTTCACCGCCTTCATTTTTCAATACTGACAGTTGCTGCTCAAGTATTTATTTATTTTTTTTCCAACTGAAGGTCCAGGACTGCAACTCTGGGACTAAATCTCTTGGACCCTTTATTGTTGGGTCAGTATTTGGACATTTGCAGACACATGCTACTCTGTTGCTCAGCTATAGCACAGGATGCATTGACTGCAATGTAAAAACCTACTTGTCCACTAAAAGTTTTTGTCACTTACTTTGAAAATACTCTCACAAGCAGTTTGAAAAAACAAAGCTCTCCTGATATGGTCTTTCTCAAAGATTTGCATGTACTGAAAGCCAGGAGACCTAGACGACTGGGGAACCATCGTTCCTTACACTGACGCCATCAGACTCTTTGTAGTTCATACATTCTTTCCTATTTGGAAACAAACTAACAATATCAAAAAGCTGCACAAAGCTTGATCACCATGCTAAAAGTACTTTTGAAGTATAAAGGAAACGTTGAAAGGGCTCAGGATAAATAGCCTGGAATACTTCACAGGGAAATCAGCAACAAAATTTCAGGGTGCATAGGTAGAAGTTATTTGTCAACCCTTGGATCCAGGACATGCAGGTATGTCCAAATGATTCTCCCATGAAGCTAAGCTCATTCATATTCTGGATATAGGTGCAAATAGAAATGAAATGCGATGGAAAACCGAGCAAAAATAAGCTATTCTAGCCATTTTTCATATAAATATGGGATAACATACAAATGAAAACACTCAAAAAAGCATTTTGCACTATGAGGAAGTAATATTTTACACAAGTAGGCAAGTGGGGCTGACTCCAGATGAGATCAGGACTGTATAATGTGCCAAATATGGTGATTTTCGACCTAACGTACCACACATTTTGAGTGATTACTCAAAAAGTTATGAAATGCCCATCCTGAAACTTGCAGGGATGCTAGTGGACATGATAGTCTTTCTTTAGTGTGAATATGAAGAAAATTGAAGGACGCGCGTTTTTTGCTATTTCCAATTTAAGTTTTTGGTCTTTTATAACTTTTTTTCTGGTCCAATTTGGGAAAAAATGTTTTGAACAAAAACGTAGGCCTTGAAGAGAGATTTAAAATGACACCTGAATCAGCTCTCTAGATGCCATACTTCCAGAGATATGAACCATTTTGTAACGCATGTCATGCTAATTAGCCAAAATTCCGTTAGCCCCTATCTCACTAATTAGATGGCTTTGAACAAAAATATTTGAGCTCTGACAGTTTCTCCTGAAGGCCAATCACTCCACCAAATTTCATCAAAATTTGTGACGTGAGTGGAGATTCTTGGTTGAATTGACATGGAATGACCCAGAATAGAGCTATACCACCAGATATTACTAACTGCATAAAAATGATCATTCCCTTTGATGAAAGTGGTCCTGGCTGAGCCAGCATTTCCAAACCGGCGACCATCATATCCTGGCTTTAAAACATTTCTTCAGAAACCAGTGGGTAACATCACTGAAACAACACCCTCCTGGTTTGAAAAGGTGTGTCTCTGTTGGGGATGTCCTAACCTGATATTGATATCGGATATCGGTCTGATATCAGCAAAAAAAAAAAAGAAGAGAATATTGAATTATACCGGCCTGCATATTAAATCTCCAATATCAGCACTAAAATACAAGCAGTCCATTCCAGACTCTGTTCCAGCACCTCTATCTAGCAGCACCCAGATCCAGCATGCAGAGCCCACATGATCACAACAACAGTGTGTACTAAGGTACAAACAAAGTAGAAGGAGTAGGTTTGATGTTGGCCGTGTGGCAGTATTGTTCCTTTTAGTTCCGAAAAAGACATTGTTGCATAGTGCAAAACTTGTCATGCACAAGTTTGTGCCAATATCGGATCAATATTGGTAACAGCCGATACTGAAGGCTCTATTGTATCGGAAGTAAAAAAGTTTCATCGGGACAGCCCTTGTTTCTTAATTGAGTTTTTTTATGTAATGATGTTAGTCAGATCTGTTCAGTCTAACAACAATAATCTGATCCTGTCAGTGACAAAAACAAAAACTTGAAGGGGATGTTTTTCAATCCATTAATTGAAATGGATCCATGGATTGTGTTGTGGCAGGTACGGCCTCTTTCACTGCTGCAGGCTGAAGAATTTTACCGACGTTTCCCTGGAACTGTTTGTACCTTTAAATCATGAAAACCCCACACTGTTTAAAAGATTAGGTTTAGCTTTATTGATACCAGAAGGACCCTTTGGGAGACATCGACAAACAGGTAATTAATTGGCATCTTGTGGAAAAAAATGTCAACATTGTTTGTGATTTAAAGTCTACACCTGCCTGAAAACCAGGCAGAAAGTGTTGGGATAGTACTTTATCTGACTCACAGCTCTTCTTTACCTTTTTTAATACATTAATCTGTCTTTAAATGCCATCTGAGGAACCTAAATATGTCATGCAAAAAGCAGGAGGTCTCGAGGGAGACAATAGCCTTTAAAGTAAACCTTTAAGATCGAGTATCTGATGGTCTTTTTCTAACCGTAGCAAAACTAACAAACAAATGCACACAAACACTGATACAAACCAGATCCTCCTATTGCATCAGCTGCAAACCTGTTTGTGTAAGCGTTGCGATGGATTAGGGACTGTGCTGTAAGTTACTCGTCATGCCTCATGTTGGTCTGTGTGCCAAGTCAAATTCTATTAGTCATAAAAAGTGACAGCGCAGCTCTGCAAACTGTGAGAGAGACTCTTATTTATGCGGAACAGTGGATTAGAGCTGATTGATAATTGTTTATGCCCTCGGCGGTGGTGAATGTGTGTATTTCAGGAAAATTCACCAAAGCCGGGGCTACAGAGAGGAGAAGGCATGCGAGCCGGCATGCAGAAGTGGGTGGTGAGTTTAGAGACGCATATGACACAGTAAACACACTGAGCTGCTTCCTCCCGTCCTCTGCTCCTTGCACAGATCAAGAAGAAAGGCTGCAGAGACGAAGAAGTCTTCGTTTTAGCAAGACCAATGAAAGGAAACAAATTCCTGCAGTTTCTTTTAAAAGTTGTTTATTTGGATTTGCAGGTCTGTCGCAGAACTCATGCATTCATTAAATTAACTTTTTACTTGCAGTGTTTATTGTCTTTGAAATTTAATATAAAGTTTGCTGCAATATCTGATGGTATGTACCTCTGTTAATTAATGCTATAGTCTGCTTTTAGAGTGGGGACCGATGTGTAAAGCTGCAGATAAGACTGTTTGCTGTTTACTTAAAACTCATTTATGCAGCAAAAAAATTAAAAAACCTGGCTCATTAAGAAAACAGACAAAGAATATTGAAGCAATAATAGATTAACTTAGCCAAGCAAAAAAAGAGATTTATCATAAAATGAATTCATTATTCAGGTTAATATGAAATTCTTTTTTTTACAGCAAACAAGGGATAAACTGTCCCTCATTTGTTGTGAGGCTTACAAGTAGTACAAGATCCTCTTATTTTATTGTCTTTTCCAGGTTAATTTACGTTTTATTTTATTTAGAGAGAAAATTTTTGAAATTCAAGTTACTAAGAGTTTTACAAAAGAGGCAAAATAAACCAAGAACTTCATAAAATCGTCTGCAGGAGCAAGGGAGGATGATTTCAATTCAACATGCAAATTTGAATCCTGAAAGTGACGCTAGAAGTAAATACCACCTGCTCCTATACCACAGAACCTGGGCACTTTTTTGCACTTGCATCATCTGCAACCTTATTGGTTTGATCAAATGTCTGTCAAAAGCAAAGAGATTTCCATTAGGCTTCTGCTGGTGAGTGTACATTATGATGAGATTCCTCTGAGATTTCAAATATTTAATACCAGTTGCATTGTGGTATTAAGGTGCACATCTACAACAAACATTACCTCTTCAAGTATTTATTCATAACAAAGAAGAAAAAGGAACAGGAGCCGCAGACATTTGAAAAACTTCTATTTCTTTTTTCTTTTACTTGTCCCATTGACTTCAATGCATGTTCTTTTGCAGTTTTTCACGACTTACATTAAGAAAAAAATTCATATACAATGGAGAAAAGTAGCAACACACCGATCCCGATCAAACTGCACATTTTGATACAAAATTTGTCCTCCAACTCTTTAAGCTGTAGGGATAGTAGTGAATCAAAATTTTGTCCAGAGGAGGAACAAGAAAAATAAATTAAAAAATAGTGCCACTGGGCTTTGTCCCTTGGCCCTAATAAAAAAGGCGAGACTGAAACATTAATATAAACTTTTGGAAGTGGTTTTCCATTGAGAAAGACAGGGCTGAAAATAAAAACATGTTTACAGTTTGCGTAAGAGAAGTCCCTCTTGTCTTTTAACCCACAGTTGTGTTTGTATTTTCACTGAGAGGTACATTTAGAGTCACTGCAGCCACTCTGCTGTTAGGGCCAAATAACTATCAGCTTGATAACAAATTACTTTATTGTTACTGTGCTTCATCTGCAGCAGGGGATGTTATTGGGCACTACCAGAACAGAAACAACAAAATTGTACCCGAATAATCTGAGACCCAAAAGCAGAAATTTTAAAAGGTAATTGTATTGTACTTACGCTGGTGCAGCTTGACTATTAAGAGAGAGCACATGTGGGTCCAAGCTGCTTCTTTCAGTGCATTACTTAAGCTGATCAGTCCTAAAACATTAGGAGTGGTTATGCTTTGCAACCACAGTTTATTTATAGATATATTTAAGGATTTATTTATTTATGTCCAACGCTGTATATACCAACATCTGCTGATGTATACCCTCACCCTTGCCTAAAAGGTTATTTTTTTAATGCTGAGAACTGTTTGAGAGTCCGGGGAGCTCTTACAGGGGAAAATAAGGTTGATTACTGAGGAATAACAACAGGGGTGCTTCAGTTATAACGTGTTGTCTCATCTCTGTAATATCTAAGATATGAATTCATGCCTGAAAAGCAGCAGATAAACTGTTTTGCTTTTTGCACAGAGGGGAAACATTTTGTTTTTCAGTGTGCAGGAGATGATTCATTATAATTCAGTTTGCATAATAGCATATCCACATCACCCATCCTGCCCCATTTATCATCTCTCTGCTACTTCAGGTTAAATGATGAATAACTGTGGTGACAATTGGTGCAAAAAACATTTAACAAAACAAAGCAAAAAACAAAAAATCACACATTTAAGATGTAAATAAAAGGTATATAACAGTGGGTGTTGATCACACCTTATATGAGTGTTAAAAGTGGTCTCCAAAGTCAAAGTGATTGATTGATTTGAAGGATTTAACAGCTTTGGCACCTGGTGAATCTTGGCAAATAAGCCCAAAAGACAATCTTTTTTATAAGGCACATGCAAAAGGTAAAACACATATAAGACATAAACTATATATAAGGCCATAACAAGACGACAGCTCTTTGAGAAACCATCATCAATGAGCTAACGTAGACAAAGAAATACAGTTTATGACTTATAGACAGGAGGACAAAAACAATGTTTGGGACACATATCTCTCATATGGGGGTGATAATCTGTCTTCAATTGGACTTGACTTGGTTAATCAAAACACTATCAGTACAATTTAGTAGACAGTAAATTTGACTGTTGAAAGTCAGCAGGATGAGATTTCTTGCAAAGGTCCCTATCCAAACATGTAGAGGGCAAAACCAGTGAAGACTGTTTGTCCACGGGGGCGCCAAATCACCATCAAATGAAACTCCCTGACTGGAACTTTAAATATCATTAGCCTTATTTTTCATCTCATTATATGTTTATATGTATATTTTTTTCTAACCTATTTACATTTGCAATTTTATTGAGTACCTTATTTACAAAAATTCCAAAAATTTAGGTACAAAAAATAAATAAATGTATAGTAAAAAAATAAATAGTAAAAATTTTCCCATAAATAAAGAACAGATTTCAAATATTTAGTTTCTGCCTATCTGTCCATCTGTGTGTTCACAATTATTGATATCAGTTATTGAAAAATTACAGCTCTCAGTGTTTATGTAAAAGAATCTGCTCCTCTATCAATAGCTTGGTCTGAGAAAAACCTCAAAGGTCATGAGTCGACTCCAAATGTCTTGGTCCCTGTTGCAGCTTCAGACTTGGAAACTGAACACTGAGCCAAACCGATGATCAATGTCCTTTCAGCGACAACCACCCCTCTCCACCCCACCCGCACAGACACCACATGTGGGCGTCTTACTTCCAGCCCTCGATCCATACCTCTGTGCTTCTGTATTTACAGCAGATCAAACATTCAGACGGAAAGATGGCTCACATCGATTGGCTTGTGGGTTCACTATTTTGAGTGGCATTTCATAAATAGAGCCGCCTTGTGAAATAGTAATGAGCTGATGGTGATTAGCATTCAACTGAAATACGGCGTGATTGATTAGATATTCAGATTTCATTTGGTCAAGGTTAAAAATGGAAGAAAAGGATCTAAAAAGAACTCCACAAATAAAAAGAAAGCTGAGATTTAATGCTGATATCAGTTTGAAAAAACAAAACCAGACACTGCGGATGGGTTATTGTTGTAGAAATGAGGTTGGTTTTTCCTTCCTCAGCCGAGTGGCACTCAGTCAGAAGAGACTTCCATAGAGAGTAAAATATCTGTCCATGAATACATCTGCAGGATAAGGGCAGAAATATGTACTTCTCCAAAGAATGAAAGGATTATCTTAGTCGGTCTGATCTCATGTTGTTCCATATTCAGAGGGTTTGGAGGAGAAAAGCTCAGATTTTCCAATTTGATCCTAAAATTCAACATTCTGCTCGGATGAGGCTAAATCCTGAGGTGGAAATCCAGGTACCACAAAGGTGTGAACATCCGGGAATGGAATACTAGGAGGAAATGTTGTAATATTTAGAAACTTTGAACAGGTACTCACTCACTGGTACCATCAGTTTTAGAAAAAATCACGTGTTAGAGTCTTCCAGGCTTTTGTTACTTTCCATAAGTTTTTATTATGACTTGTGTCATACAAGGATTGTAACTTCATGAGGCTTTTTCTGACTTTGCTCTGTGATAGCTGTGGTATTTTAAGCCCCTGTGAGACGACAAAATAAATGATTTCCCTCTGTCATTCTTTTTATACCTAATACTACTCTAAGGTGAAAGGTATCAGGCCACTCAATAGCCACTAAATTTGACTATCTTTGATTGAGTCCCTGAAGACCCCAGAGTTTCTCTTTGCCACCAGTCAATTCAGACTAACTGCCCTTATCAGAAAAGGGGCTGAGCCACATATTAAGGGCAAAGTACCAGGTTGGATTGCAGATACTTTTCAGATCCCCTGGCGACTTATTTTCAAAAAAGTGCCTAGTTACTATTTTGAGTTGCTAAAATTGGAGTTTGGAGACTCTGACATGAAGGCAGGTATCAATGTCACTCTTCTCAAAACGGGTAGCAGGTGTGCATCAAAAACACACCCTTTTCTAAGACTTGATTCAGAACCAGTATGGTGATCATTTGAACTTGAATCATGTTTAAAACGTGTATAGATTATAGATTTTACTTTGTATATTTTCTTGATTGTCTTTAATGCCAATAGATCTAAACTGCAGCATTCTTGCTACTCTGGCATCTTTACAACTTGTAGTGCAAAAGTCATGTTCATCAACATGTTCAATAAGTTTCAAACAAAAAGCTAAATATATAAAATTAGACAAGAGAAGAGGATTTTATACCTACATAAGACAAAAGAAGGAGTACTACGAAAAAAAATATCGGTCAGTAAGAGGAATAAAACTTTATTTACTGATTGTGTGATTAAAAACATTTTATCCTCTGCCTCATCTTGCAGGGAGTGGCCATATTTTTCATTTTCTGCTATTTCATCACATTTCAAGTTTTTCTTTGGTGATTTCCGAAAGCACTGACATATATCCCTTCAGAGGTGCAAAACCTTCCCCATGCTATAAAAAAATCGAATAACTAAAGGAAATAAGAAAGCTAAAATGCTACACTGTACTAGAAACATTTGCTAAAGTTTCTGTAAACTTGAAGGCATTCATCATTATCATTTGTTGTTTATAGTTCTTGTGTATTAAATTTGTTTTGTGTGTTAATGTACCTTTTTATTGTGCCATTTCAACCAATTCAAACTTCATATAATCAATTCTGAGTCCGATGTTCCTAACCATGGAGAAAACAATAAATATTGCAAACCTGTGTCCATGCTGCTTTTCCTTCAGTGCACATGCAGCTTTAAGGACCAAGGACACAGCTCAGGTAGTACACACTTAGTATTCTGAGGCTGCGTGCAGAGAGAGATTGCACCTGTACAGGCTGTTAGGTGATGTCTGTGTCACTTGGATGACCAGAATCTGTAGCCGAGCGTTTCCTTGAGCTATGGAATTGGTTGTCTCGGGAAAATCTGATTAGTCACCGCTGACAATGCAGAGACAAGGAAATTACTTTCTTGTGCATATCATTACGAAAAAATCAATATGACGGATGTGGTGGGGGCTTGGGCTATTTATTGTGGCTGAACTCAGGGCCAGGCGGCCTCTCTTTGCATTGGCCTCTTGTTACTGCTTTAATTTGTTCTCAAGACAAAAAGAAAAAAACTTGAAAGAGCTGGAGGTGCATCCTGAGGTGCGTGCTGCAGTGTCCGTACGACTGTAAAACCACCGTCTTATCCCACTGCGTGTCTTAATTACCTGAAAATAAATCTGCTCAGGAGGAAATGCGAGTGGTGCTTCAAGGTGAGACCTCCTCACACTCGTCTCCTTAATGCTCTCATTATCGGCACCGGTTTTAATTCAAGGTTCACACCACAATGCCGCAGAAACAGACAAGCAAGTTCAATTAAAAAAAAAAAAGACAAGAAAAGAAAAACCTCTTAGCTTCTGAAAAGTCTCAAAGGTCAGCCAATTCAAAAATCTGCTCCTCAAAGTGAGAGGTTGTAGCAAGAGGGCACAACAGGAATAAGTAGACAGAGAGATGAGCTATTCAGAGCAATTTTTGGCTGTTTTGAATATGTGCTCTTGTGGCTTAAGGCTTTCAGAGCCTGCCTCTAGTGGACACTTAAGTCACTGCAGTTTTGAGCACTGAAGCTTCACCTCTCAAGACCAGAGGTTACTGATTGGATTAGGATTCTTTTCTACGTACTCTTTATTATGATTGAAAAAAAAAAAAAAAACAATATTAGCTGCTTTACTGCCACTTCCTGGGCTGTTGGAAGCAAGCCTTTTTAGACATGTAGACACTGATTCTTTTGAAATTCGGACATCCTCAAAATTCTCAATCTTTGATCAAAATTTAAGATTGATGTCATACCGAGGTCAGGCTATATGTTTTTCACACAATTAGGGTTTTGGGCAACATTAGCCCCCAAAATCGTGTGTTGTTTGTAATAGTAAACAATAGCTAAGGCCACTTATCCAACAGAGTGAGTTTTTTTCTCTGTCTTTGTTGATTTTTCCTGTCACACAGGTGGTTAGGGTATCAACCAATGAGTGTACGGACAGCTTTGAAGGTGCATAAGTCCATGAAGAAAGAATGACAAGTGCTGGGAGATGGAGCTGTAAGACAGAGAAATGTTAGTTGCGCTCTAATGCTCTGGGATTATCTCATCTGACAATGACCATCCTAACAAAGAGAAGAACCCTGTAGTCTGACTTTGGCATAAAAAAACTGATTTACTGTTTACAACTACACAGCTCCACGTTTTAGAAACCTTTAAGCTTGGAAACAGTGTGGATATACCATCATTGTGTAAATTCAGAGTTCAGTTTTGAGTGCAAACACTTTTTTAAATGACACACAAGCCCACAGTTAGCCTCTGATTGGGTTGTATCAGAAATGACATGTCCCATCAAGTCCTGTGATGTTTCTCATTCCCTCTGCGCCTAAGTCTTTAATTTAGATTAGAGGTGTCTTGAAGAAGTTCTGTTCATGTTTCTCGAAACTTGAATCAGTTTTTGCACTCTTTTCTGACAGAGTGTTAAATGTTTCTAATAAACTGGAGAAAGAACACAGGGTGAAACCCTGCTATTATCAGCACTGGAGGTGGGATTGAAAGCTGGCTGTGATCAGCCTCCGACGGTGTGTTTTCACTGTGATTTCTCTCAGTAGAGGAGCATGTGGAATCAGCGTGATGAAGATGGTGAAGTTTGTGTGAGGTGATAGAGCAAACACTTTACTACTCCAGTATCCTTGTGTTAAAAAGTCTCTGAAAGTTTCAGCAGAGCTCTCACTGGTTTCCTGCAGTAACAGTTTGGCAACCAGCCTCTAGAAAGTGCTCATGGTCTCACAGCAGATTTTGTCCCTTTAAAAGACAGTCTGCTGGAGAGTTGAATGGTTTGGACTACTGTATGGTGCTGTTACCAGCATGTATAAAGATAGTGTATTTAATTGTATTGAAGTCACAGCATTGTCTTACACTATTTGTGTTAATGTTTTTCTAAAATTTTAAGTTGTCCCTTTTCTGCCAAATTCCTTTTAGAAAGATTTTACGTCAGACGACATGGGAAACTGTCAGATAAAGGATGGACGATAATAGAGCGCTTGTTCTTGTAAAAATGGGAGAAGTCATCCTAAAGATTAATTGGTTTGAGAGAAAGGTGCCATGTTTCTGGGTTCAAGGTGTGACATTTGGAGCCAACAAGGAAGTGAACTCCATTATTAAGATTTATGAAAATGATTCAGGTTTTAAATTTCATTCACCCCTCCTATTATGAATTCTATCTTAAAAAGCAAATTGAATTAAGTGCTGCATTATTCTCTCTAATTACCACGTCCACATCAGTTCTTTGGAGAAAGTGATTGATGCTGAATAAAAGACGCAGTGAAACTGGACCAAACGCAGAATGATTCAGCTCTGAGCAGGAACTCTTTGTTGTGAGAGTTTTACTCTTAACTGAAGGCAGAGCTCAGGATACAGAGCTGCCTCTCCCTCTCTCACAGTGTTTGTTTCTGTAAAGCAGCTCTGGCCATCAGTACACAGGGGAGATGAAGAGTTATTGAACTGTTATTGATCGCAGGCTGGGAACATCCAGAGATTTATATATATTGTCCTTTTTCCAAGGTAAGCAAACAATAATCAGAAGAGCTGAAATCCAAACTTTTGTCTCATAATAAAGCTTTCTACTGTATGTATTTATTTTTTTGTAGAGGCCTGGAGATGACCTACTGAAAACAACTGAATAGATGCAGTCCTCAAACATGGTCTGACATATTCTATCAATGTGTGCAAAATGCACAAAAGTGATGCAATGCACATTCTATTCAAAATAAACCAATTTAAGCTTAATAATGCCCTTTTTATATTAATACATGTTTGATGGACATTGTTAGTCTTTGCAAATATTTGACAAGGGAGATAATGCAACAATTCACTCACCTTCTAGAAGGGATTGCCTCATTAAACACAGTGAGTGCAAGCATTGAAATTTGGTCATAAACAGTGAAATCCCTTTTGGTGCTACTTATGTTTGATTACAGACTGACTTGGCTCGGACAAGGACATGTGTGACAGTATCAAAGTATCCAAAGACTGAAATGCAAACTCCAGTGTCAGTGTCATATTTTAAAACAGCTTCACTTTCATCAATTTCAGAGAGCTTTATTGGTCCTTGATTTGCATTTAAGGGTACAAAAACACTCAAAAACCATGAATGTCTTCTGGTCTGGGCTCTTTTTTTTATTTTTATTTTTTTGCTGTTGTATAAATAAATACTTGAAAAAGGAATGTTTGTTGTAGGTGTGCTCCTTATATATAATATCACAATGCGGCTAGTATTAATTATTTGAAATGTCTGAAGAATCTCATCATAATGAACACAAAACTGGCAGTAGCCCCCCGGTCCTTTCCAAATTTCCCAGAGGGAATCTTCTTCTTCTTGTTGAAGTTTACAGTTGAAAAATGACTTGATATTGCTTTATTGTTGATTTTCACAAGGCCATTTTTTACCATCAGTACACAGCAAAGAAACTACATGTGTAGAAAACATGGACCTGAAAGACATCCATTCAGCACATATCAACTCATGTATCTCCTTTTAGTTCATATAAACTCACACACAGTTGTTTTGTTCATGAGTGTGTAAGAGATGGGACAAAGCTAGCAAACTGTCTTCGTTCCCGGGCCTGAAATCAAAACCTAGACCAGACAGGAGCTCTCTGAGATGAGTGGAGGGGGTGCTTGGGATCTCAGGTTCTGGTTTGTGCTCTGGTCAGGTGTAGATGGGGCAGAGATTTTGGTGACGCTGTTTGTGATGCGTATGAATTTGTTCTTGTTGGGGATGTTTGGTATTGGACCAATATCAGTTTATCAATAGCTGACGCAGACGATTCTAGAGCAGGTTGGTCAATGGGCGATGTATAATGCCAATATCACATTATAGTTTTTTTTTTTTTTTAATGTAATATTACTTAAAATGAGAAAACAAAATCTGTGAACATTTGGATTATCAGATTAATTATTCTATCTCGAGTTGGGGTATTACGGTATGTCATAAGATCTGGCTAATGAAACATGACAAAAAGAAGGAAAATTACAACTATACATCAATACAGAAGTTTATAACAAAAAACTAGTTTAGAGCTATACAAAAAGGATGAGGAGTGTGCGTCAGTGAAGATGTGTGGAACATGCTGCACAGTGTGAAAATAAATAAATACAAGCACAACTAAAGCCAAACATACAAAACTGTGTTGCCATGTGGAAAGCCACTGCACGGATGAGTGGGTGGGCCAGTGCTCGTATACACCTGGGAGATTGGCGAGGTAGCCTACTCTGAGGTACAGTGAAACCCCGCCCACAAAATAGACTTAAGTAATCTATTAAGCAGTGTCTATCCAAGAGGGAACCATGTTGCTGCATGCACCGAGAACAGCACTGCAGAATGAAGATGCTATCAACATCTGCACCGACAGATTAAATCCAGATTCAGAGTGATTGATTGTAAAGGTGGTAAAGTGAGGTGACTTCTTCTCTGCAGACACAGAGTGAATGATAATATTGAAAATGTCAAAAACTGAAGCCAGCATTATTTCCTGTCAGACGGTGTTCAGTGCAGGAAGCCAAATTTACTTAGATTCATTCGGGGCCATATCTGCCTTAATTTGCCATCTGTGCTTGTTTAGAAGAGGGTCTCTGGACGCAGATGAGAGTGCCTCCAAATCTAACTCAAAGTCCTGCTTTCAAAGTGCTGGAAGACTAAGCGACAACTGACGTGCGGGTTTGATGTGTGAGCTATTTCCATTCACACAAAGGATTCTCATACTCAACCTTGGTTTAATTTAAAACATATCTGTTTCATCAGTGACCATTTATAAGTTTCTCATCCACATTTTCACCAGAAATATTTGTATGCATCAACAAGCAACAACACAATTAGCATCTTAAAGGCAGATTTTTAAGATGAATTCAAAATTGTTTACATCCATCACATACAAACACCGTCACAGACATGTAACACAAAGGTCTGAGTAGAAGAAACAGGCCGCTTTCTATTTGCCAGTTTCAAGGTGAACACTTGGAGACATCAGGTTTCTTATTACTCGGCTTAACAGGCTCCCTTATTAAGGATTCTGGTTGGACGCATCTTTGCAGAGAATCCTAATTAGTGTGACTTAAACAAAAGACGGAGGATTGTGCCATCTGCCTCACATAACGAGGATTCCTCACTAATTAAAAACACCTAGGAGAGCAGTTAGGGAGTAATACCTGGTTAGGTTTGGAAGGTTAGGGAGATCTAATGAACACGAAAATGAGTACTGCTGCATTAAGTTCCCCCTTTAAAACAGCAGCCATCATCTCTTCAGAGAAACACACACCAGTGCATGACCAAAATACTTCCCCTCCTCCTGTTGGGTTCTTACACATCAGAAACAGATGTTGGAATAATTCTGCTGGCTTATTAGTTTTACCACAAAAACATATTTAATGTCATAGTTGAAATAATAGTGCTGTACATTTAGTGTTGAGTGGCAAAAAATGTTCTTACCTTTGTCATTATGCGGATAAAGAAATTAGAAAAATTATACAATATTCAATTTTTTTGTAGAAAAAATGCATTACATACAAGATGTGCTGCTCACAATGTTTCACAATAAGGAGCAGCAAGCATCACATCCAATAATAATAAAAATAATTAGTTCAAAGGTAAAAAATGCACCCCCATGCCCACTACACCCAAATATCTGAAAAAAATCACAATATTAAACTGGTAGAGGCCAATATTAGCTTAGTTTCAACTCAATATTGCTCAATATCAGCATTTAATAGTACCATTAGTTTAATGTCAGACAATATAGGCCTAAAATCAGACAACAGCCATTATAAGATTGATATCAGCTATCATTAGCCTTATGCTGGTCTGATATAGGCAAACATCAGCTTGATATTAACTGATATCACCTCACTTATAATTTCAGCCCAGTACCGACCAATATCAGAGCAATATCAACTGATATAAATGAACAAAGAAAATTTTAGCTTGAGACAGACCAATATTAGCCAATACCATGTAATGTATGCATGTCATCAGCCCAATAATAGCCAGTGTTAGACTGATAACATCCAATACAAATCAGATATAGTCTGATGCTAGCCTGATCTTGGTCAGAATCAGAAAAATAGGCAAACATGAGCTTGATATAAAATTATATCACCCAACCATTGGGTAATTTCAATTAAGGACATTGGTCTTTTATTGAAATTACCCTTTTATCTCCATTGTCCTAGCCCAATACCAGCCCATGCAAGCCACTATCAGCCCAACATTACCATGATATAGGCCAGCTGATGTCTCTGTGTGTCTAATCATCAAATAAAAATACATATCTCCAACTGGTCCAAAACTCAGCTGCCCACATCATTACAAAGACCCCCACACATCACCACATCACCCCCGTCCTCCAGCACCTCCACTGGCTCCCCATCAAAGACCGGATCATCCACAAACTCGTCCTGTTCGCATACATGGCCATCCATAACCCATGTATCCGGTCCTCCTCCTCCATCCACCTCTCTGTCCCCCCTGCCTGCCTCAGTACAATGGGGGGCAGAGCCTTCAGTCACTCTGCCCCCCAGCTCTGGAACTCACTACCACCCGATCTCAGAAACACTGACTCCTTTCTCTCTTTCAAAACACTACTCAAAACCCACCTGTTTCGCTCCGCATACTCCCTGTAGCTGTTTTATCCATTCCCTGTGTCGATTTTTATCTGTTTAAATTGCTTATTGTTTTATTTATTGTTTTATTACGAATGTCTTGCTTTTAATATTGTACAGTGACCCTGGGTGCTTTGAAGGGCGCTTTCAAATAAAATGTATTATTATTATTATTATTATTATTATTATTATTATTATTATTATTATTATTATTATTATATCTAAACCCTAACCAACTATGATCAAAGTTATATGGAAGGCTGAAATCAACTAATATCAGAAGATCATGGCCCAGCCTATTGCTGACTCAACCTTGGTAATTATCAGACTTACAATGCTACTATCAGCTTGATATAAGTGAATACAAGACAAAAATCATATTGTAAAAGCCAATATTAGACCAATATTAGCCAATTGCCAGCCAAGTATTGGTTAAAGGGGACCTGCCATCAAAATGTAATTTTGTGTGTTTTTTGTGTCAGATAAGGTCCATATTATGTTCATCTTATGTTGTAAATGTGAAAACAAACCGTTACGTCGTTTGCATTCTGTAAAGGTTTAAAATAAAGAACGGGTAAACCAGGCCAATTGAAAAAGCAGGTCCCTCTGACGTCGCGCTGACCTTGCTCATTATTATTCACGAGCGCGTCCTCGGTGAGCCGCGCCCACTCTCTCGTTCTCGTACTCGTTCACAGTCAACATCACTCTCCAGAGCGAGACGCAGCTACCACTGTATCCACTATGGGTCTCTTCCAAACGACCGGTGCTTCCTTGGGTTCACTGCCGGGAAAATGAACTTAAAGCTGGGCAGAATGAATGAGAAAACACCGCTGGAGATCTCCGGCTTCTTCTTCAACTTCCACCTCCTCTTCGGACTCGGGGTCTAAAATATATGGTTTAATACCTGCCGTTTTTAGCCTTCAGCATAAGGTGACCAGACGTCCACGATTTCCGGGGACAGTCCCCGTATTGGATGACCTGTGCCCGGCAAAAGCTGTCCCCGAAAACATCCCTGATTTAAGCGTTTCATGAATGAGAGCAAAAATGTTGCGTGTGGGCTCGAAGAATGGTTATTACCGTAGCCGAATAGGTAGGAAGCACAAGTTAGCAGTCCTGAACAACAGTTTTTAAGGGGTTATTACAAGGGGCATGCGCTGCAACTAAATAGTACCAAGATTTTGTCTGTGATCACGCAGCCCCTGCAGCCCCTGCACCTGCCGCCGCACCGAATATCCCCGGATATCATTACAGACATCTGGGCACCTTACTTTAGCACACATTAGCAAAATGGATAAACCGAAATCCGAACCTCCACTGCTGAGCCAATCAGAGCACAGCAGGCTTCACAGCAGCGATCCAATCAGAGCAAAGCTCATTACCATAAATGTTAATGAGCCAAAATCAGTTGGTTTTCCTGTAAGGTTTATTAGGCATACTAAAACAAACCATCAAATAACTTTTCAGCTAAAATTATGTTGCAAACATGATCAGAGGACATCAAGGATTATGAAAAAATGATAAAAATGGGTATGAAATTTTGATGACAGGTCCCTTTTAATGTCAGAGCAATATAGACAAATATCCGCCAAAATATGGGCAAATATATTAACAAATATCACTTCAACATTGGATCATTCCAGCCTCACAAAGGCTGATATCAGCTTTTTATCTGAACTTCATCAGCAAAACATCTGCCAATAGTATCCCTATCCTATAGTATGGCAAATTAATACATTTCTGTGTCTAAAAGATACTCAGACAGAAATAACGTGACGATAAAAAATGCTTGATTTAAAAACATTTGGGTTGGGATTGACATGAGAGATGCAATATTATCTTACACCCACAACTCTTAATTGATAAGCTGCATACCTCTCTATGTTTCCCAAATGCTGACTGAATCATGATTAATGTCTTATTTAGCAATAATCTATCCCCAAAAATGATTCAACTCTGGGAAGTAAGTGAATTTCTGCAGGTCCTCAATTGAAAGTTGAAACCAAAAGTGGTTCCACTCGGGAGGATAATTTATTGGAGATGAATTTGTCACAGAGTGTTTGGTCCTCGGTGCATGTCAGGACGAAAGGAAAAAAAAAAGGCTTGGTTACTGTCGGCATCAACAGGGTTCAATTTCACACCAATTATAGCTCCATCTAACTGAACACAGGTGGAGGGACAAACCTGAACATGAACATTAAACAGGAGTATGTGCAGCTCTCACTATAAACTAAATAGATTTACACTCTGCAATAACGATTAAAATATTATAACAGCTGTCATATTCAAAGGCAATTTTCTCTGAGTTATTTCACTCTAGTTTAAATCGGCAGGAAAGTCTGTGTCCAGCACACACATACACATGTACACACACACGCATACACACACACGCAAATATATCAACCCCACCATACACTGCTTATGCCCTCCAGGCACAGGTTTCATTTGAGCACATTCATTACCTTTTAATTGCCTCTAAATTGCAATGTGACCCATCACATCAATAACACTATCTTTGTAAGAGGAGAAATGAACCTCAGCGGGGTTACACTGTGTGTGTGTGTGTGTGTGTGTGTGTGTGTGTGTGTGTGTGTGTGTGTGTGTGTGTGTGTGTGTGTGTGTGTGTGTGAACGCAGATAATTCTCTATGATGTTTGTGTGTGTTTCGTGTGGAGCGGTGTAATTCCTGGAGAAAAGAGGACTGTGTGTGTGTTTATGTGTGTGTGCCGGCGCTCTGTGTCCTTAGCCGGTGGAGTCAGCGTGTTTTGAGAGGAGCAGATATTTCCACGATGAAGGTGAATCAAAATGTGTTTCAATTTAATCCGCTCTGATTACACACTGTCGTGCCCTACCTGAGCCTGCCAGCATTGCTGATCTCAAACACCCCCCCCCCCCTGACCTTCAGACCAAATATGGGCAACATCCTGCAGGTTTAAATCCTGATACAAAAAGTTCTGATTAAAACTGCATTAACAATATAATCAGGAATCAAACAGTGTTCAGCTCAGTCTTACCTCCAGACTGCAAAAATGTATATATTCTGTACCAAGATAGTTTTCACAGTTTGTACCTTAGCTTAGTTGAGAGAGAACAAACCATTCTCTCAGGGAGGTGGAATCAGGTTTTGCTGCAGGATGCCAACCTCCCATAAGCTGATCTCTTACTGACAAGTTTACCTGGATGAAGACTTCTTAGATGAACAGCTCTCCCAAAATGTGAAGCTTTTAAAAAGGGGCTGAGCAACATGCCCAAATGTTTGAATATTATACTTTGTAAGTCTGCACTGATATTGCTCGTAAAAACGCATCCATGCCATCATTGTTTTCAGGCTCGCCACCCCCTCTTTGTCCTCAAATGACTCCGATTGGTCTGATCATCCTCTGAGAAAGCACACTAGCCAGATGACAGACACAGAATCTGACCAAATCATCTGCTCTTACAGACATTGATCTTCTTTCTACTTAAAAAAAGGTACCCAGTGAAGTAAAAGTTTTGCATGTTTTACTCGTTCTAATCAATTAACATCATCATTTTTGGCTCATGGTAGCATGAAAAAGATTCCTACCTGAACTTGTCTGGTCAATGTGGCCTAAATTAGGTGTAATTAACAACTTTATTTAGTGCTTAGGCCCTTGATACTCTAGTTAAAGTAGGACGGTTTAAAAATACCCGGATGCCATGCAGCCAAAAAAAGAAGAAAAAGAAGAAAGTCAAGTAGGGCTGAAAAACTCATTATTTTGCCCGTGTAATAGCAGAGCTCTTTGAGAATCACAGTAAAGACAAGAAGTCCAGTCCATTCATGAAGGAACACCATCTAAGCATTTAAATCTATACAGAGCTAAATCCCTGTGATGGAGAAATCATGAACACTGTGCCACTGTGATCTGAAATATCTTTTTTTTTTTTTTTTTTTCCAGTATCCACAGGGGCAGCAAACTCCTCCTGCTGCTGCTCAAAGTTCACGGTTCCTCTAGCATTCCAGCGAAACGAGCTCCTGCTGTGCCCCACACCAGATGTCCCTCTGAACTCTGGCCGTGTTCTTCATTACAGAGCTGCAGACCTGTGCTGTGAGCTGCATACCTGCACCCTCTTTACCTCAGAGGGCTGCTGGGACCAGAATTAATTAAATCCTAATATAGCCTTGTCTGGAGGAGGTGGCAGTCTGTGGGGTTGTTAAGAGCAAATTAAGACCAGAGCCCCTTCCTGCATCTGAGAAAATGACTCTTTAACTGTGAGGTGCAATTAAGAGGGAGGGTGGTGTTACCTGGTGGCGGTGGTCTGTGGGGAAATCTTCAGATCAGCTGAACTTTTCTGTTTTCACCATGTCTGTCAGCACTCGTATTTCAGAGTTTGAGTCTGTGGTGACAGGTGATTGCTCAGGTGAGATATTATGAGGGCTTTAAAGATGATGATCCTACGACTCAACACTTTACAAACAAAAACTGCTGGAGAGAAATGTTTATTTCTTTTTATTTGTTCGAATTTTGGAAAACTGGCTCTAAGAACTTGCCAACAACTTTTAGACTGAGTCTGTCAATCACTGTTCAGTTACATTACACAAGTTTCTTTGTCTTTTAATAAAGAAGGATTCAAGTGAAACAACTAATACCTCTTTGTCTCTGAAAGGTAGGATGTTTCCAAGGAATAAGACTCTCCAGACATTCGGAGGAGCATCTTTTAAAACACAGGGGTAATTAGCACCACATCTCTGCCTCTGATACTAATTCACACCTGATAGGAAAAAGCAGCAGGTATTTGTGCAGTCACTAGGATGGCTCATTTTAAGATACCGGAGTTCACAATAAAATCAAATTGATATCCAAATGATAAAATTGAAGATTTGTTTGTTTTTAATCTCAACTATTTGATCAGAGCTAATCCAGGCAGTCTATTACTGGTCATAAATCAGAATCTAGAGCCTGTCCTTTCAGTCAAAACACTTGCAACAGAATCAGGAAACCGAGGAAAATTTGCAGTAGGACATATTGTAAATGTGCAAGCAATCACTTAGTGTTACCAAAAATTTGGCTTTGCCTTGTGCAAGCTCATTAGGAAAATGCTTAACAGGTCACTGATATGGTACTGCAGCCACTGCTCACATTTTATTATACAGGCGACTAGGTCACAGCGGCAATGATGTGCAGATTAGGCAAACCATACCGCAGACTTTTTAGCAAACCATACATTGAGAGCTACAGTTTATTTTAAAGGAGTCTGAGTACAGTTGGAGTGTTCACATATTGACCTTTAGAGGACTGAAAGGGAACAATTGTTAAAACAACCAGGTGGTTGGTTGGATACACCACTGAGACCGTTTTTGTCGTGCAATTATTTCAGACGTCAATATTTTTTTTTTGAACCCATATCCTGTCAATACAAGTGTTCACATCAGGGACATTTTCCCGTCCTGCGATACTGCATTTATTTTTCAAATCATGGTAGGTTTTTCCAAAGTTTCACATACTTCTGACCAGTCAGATTGCGTGTTCTTGCAACGTCTGATTAACCGGTATATCCAACATGGCCGACCAGCTGATTGTTTATGATTGTTTACACACACATTACAAAGATAACGACCTGAAGGACAACTTGTGGAGAGTCATAGCGTAGGATTTGTGATATGACGATGTTTTGTGTGCTTTAACAGTTTGTTAAACATCTTTGTTTTAACATTCATCTGTGCCAACGTAAGCTAACTGTTGTTACCATAGTTTTATGTGCATATCTGGTACTGGCTCCGACTCAGTACATGCTATTATGACAGACAGCCATCTCAACACTAGTGTCTAGTCCTCTGCCTCTTCAAACTTGGAGCTAATTGTTTCAGCAGAACTTCAAATTGTCGAACGGACATCAGGAAATAGTTTCTGAAGTAACCGTGGTACAGTTTCAGCTCCTGAACCAAGCAGTGAAACTCACCAAGTTCTCTTCTTTTTTGGAATATTGGACCCGTGTGCCCCATTTATTTTTCTTTTGAGAAAGCAAAAGGAGTACCAATTCCCCATCACTTGAAGTTGAAGTAGACGCCATTTTTGTCCTCTCGTTTCCACCCCGGACTCTGTAGGATGGTAAGGGAGGGTCCCGCCCTCCTTCACCTCTGATTGGCTATAAGTGCTGACCGTTTGGCTTGAGCGTGTGATGACATTTCCAGCTTTTCTAGCCAATCAGAGGCGAAGGAGGCATCCCGGGAAAAGTCTTCCCCGGGATGCGTCTTTTTCCCCTGGAAAGTCGCAAAATCGCATTGGGCTTGATGTGTATAGTCAGGCGCATCAAAATTCGCCTATGAATATTTTGTAATTTCGCGTTCTATATTCACGTCAGCCTTGGTGTGTAAGGACCTTAACTCAACAATCGAGGATGCAGGTTTTTGGATCTACATGTGAAACACAAAGAGACTGAGTCAAAGAGATGTTGTTGAACATCGACAATGAACCACCAAAATGGGGGGGATACAGGGACTATACAAACACTGGGTCACGAGCATAGACTGTATACACTGTGGACAACTTGGTTCCACCTTTCATCACTGTACAATTTTAAAGCCAAATTGCTCTCGGTATTTTCGGTATTTTCTCCACCTCCTGGAACCACCCCTTGCACAGCAGCATTGTATGCTTTTGGCGGGAGAGTCGCCGAGAGTCACTGTGATGACACTCTGCTTAAACAGCATATCCCCTGGGTGAGCTACGCAATCTTTGTGTGCCCATAGTCTGTATAAAGTGTGAATCATAGAAAACATGAACCCCCTAATAACTTTTAAAAACGGAGCTGTACAGAAAAAAAGAGGACTTGAGCACAAACCAGTCTTACAATAACTACATGTCAACATTGCAACCAAGGAGGAGAAAAATGTTTATTCTGTGTAATTAATTTCTAAAGTTTGTCCACAGCTCTAAAGGGATTGCTGTTTGTCGTGGAGGCGTCACCCAGTGAGGAGGCAGACGGCGTCTATTCTATATTCAGCCTATGGTAACGAGCAACGAGAAACAGGTGAGACAGTAAGACACAGGTGCAGACAATCACAAAGGAGGGAAGACACAGGAAGTCAAATTAAACTGGACACACAGGGATAAGGGACTACAAAATAAAACAGAAAACACTGAAAATGAACCACATTCTTAAAACTCTGAAAACACAATGAGAACTGGAGCATAGGCAAACTGAAAAAACACATGAAACAGAAACACAGTGGAACTACAGACCAAAGATGTAACAGAAAATACAAAAGAGGGAAAAATCAAAACCACAAGAACAAACGGTAAATGGTAAATAGACTATTTAAAAAATGGTAAGTGGATAATTTATTAATGTTTAATCATCATTTATAAATAGCATATAGACCATTAATTGTAAGTTTTACAATTTTAAAAACCTAACCCTAACCCTAACCAACTTTACAAAAACCATCTAAGTAATGATTATAGGTGGTTTATAAACCACTTATTAATCACTCACAAAGTATTACAAACATCAGTTGCAACTTTACAATAACCATCTTTACAGTAACCATCTAAGTAATGTTTATAGATGGTAGAAAACCAAATATTAACCATTTACAAAGTGCTACTGACACACATTTAAATCTAGATGTTTTACAACCAATATTCAAACTCTATATTAACCTTTAATAAATAGTCCATTAATAATCAATGAAAATTATTAATTATGAATCATAATTTCATTGCTTGTTAATGGTAAAGTAACTATTAACTTGTATTAATAAACAATCCATTTGCCATTTGTAATTGGTCTATATGCTGTTTTTAAATGATGATTAAAAATTAATAAACTATCTATTTACCATTTATAAATTATGGTTATTGTAAAGTGTTACCTAACAAACCATCAAAGCATCAACCAAACAAAAAAAAAAAAAAAAAACAGGCATGAGTTGAGCACAAACAACAAGACTGTCTGAGCTTTAGCAAAATTTAAAGTTTTGTAAATTATTCAATTTAAATCAGTATCATCTTGAGATTAAGACTTAGGATCAATTATTTGTTTGGTAGTCCTGTTGCAAGACCCCACACTCACAACATAATCCCTTACTTATGTAAATCTCTGGGCTCTAATATGTTCACAGTGAAGGAGATACTAAAAAAATACCATCCTGTACAGTATGTATGAATAGAGTAACTAAAACCCTTCTTGGAGCATGTAGAATCTCTTTTAACATGTTTGTTTTTAACATTAGGAAATTAACAGGGTTTCCTCAGCTTTGGGAGCTGACTTCAAGTGGACTCTAAAGGAACTTCAGTTTTGCACTTCTTAGCTTTATTTTTCAACCCTGGAAATTACGGTTTGGTTTCAAGGTGCAGGACCAAAAAGCCTCAGAGTCTCTGTCAGTATCAAGAGTGTCACTATGTTCGAATTCTTCCCTACCCAAATTAATCTTCATATTACTTTAATTAAACTAAATAAAATGATTTTTTTTTCTCCCCTGTGGCTCTTCCCCGAAGCCAATTATCTAAATATGTTCGTAAGCAAGCCAGTTGTAATGAAAACATAAAAACAAAAACCGACTGGCATGCTACTGCAGAAAGACTTCCATCTGTTCTTTGGAGTGGAATCAATCGTTATTTAACAATCTCCAGCGTGGATGCAGGCTGTCAAAGGTCAAAGGAGACGTTTGCACTCTGAGGGCAGGGACTTGGAGCAGGAAGTAACTCTGAGAAAGATCACTCAGGTAGGTGGATTTAAGGTCAAGTTCCACCAGGTAAAGTCCAAGCATTCAGTTCTGAATTATGGTAACCTGTGGCACCTTTTAATTCTGTATATACACTGAGGTAGGAGGCACAAGTTAATGTGGAAAGGAATAAATCTGAAGAACTGATATGTTGAGTTTATCTTTCGGTACTCTGACATTTAATTTGTTTAAATTTTAAGAGAAATATGATTATTATTATGTGCACATAAAAAGTACCACTTTGGGGTCTTCACCTTTCACCAGCAAAGGAAACCTCAGTTTACAGATGCTGTTTTGTTTGATTCCTGCAGTCGTGACACCTGGTCAAAGTCTATCATTAAACATTTTTTGGAAAGGCAGAGGAAGGTTAGTTATGCAATAGGAGTCATTTTAAAAAACAGATGGACTGACTGAGAAAGATGCAGAAAACTGAAAAGTTGAGTAGAAGTTCCCTCTGCAGCAGATGGGATGCAGGCATGGCAAAGATTCAGCTAATATTTCCTGAATAACTGCAGCCAAATCAACACCACAAATGTTTGATGCAGAGTGTAAACCACCACAGCAGCTCAAAATGCAAAGAAAGACTGTCCATGAGCCCAAGGCTAATATTTCTAACAATTATTTTTAACACCTGTTTCATAATGTTTTTCAGACCAGCTATTTTAAATACACAGCGGTATTTTCATGTCACAGAGAGTTCTAATAGAGGCTTGTTAAAGTGTGATTTCCACACCACAGCATGCTTAATAGACCTGCCCAGGCTTCACTTTTCCTTAAGTGGAAGCAGAATTAAGACATAAAAGTCGTGGCTGTTTCAAATTAGGACACTTCAGGGTGCTATAAGCCTACTCTACTCTAAGTCAGAGCCTTTAAATCCACATTTAGAAATGTTACACGTCACGTGGCCCTGCAGCCAACCCAGCGACACGCAGGTTTCCTTTGGTCATCCACACTCCCCGGTGTGCAGCAGAACCCTGCAAGTTTGTCTCATCTCCTCTTGAAAGTCGCTTCATGCTGTTTCTGTTTAGGAATATGTGAACTTTGACAATGGTGAGCCACATTTTAGCAAGAAGCAGATGGTACGTGGACAAAAATGTATCATATCAAACTGCAAAGGATGAGACGGTGTAAAAATAGTTTGAACCATGACGCCACCTTTTTGGTTTGTGGACAAGATGACTTAATCCTGAAGTTTTCTCCCCATGATAAATGATGTCATTTCTTTAGTTTTGGCAGAAATGACTTTTTGGGGGGTTTAGCAAACACTGAGTTATCAAAGATGTATATTTTCTGTGCCAATAGCTAAGATTAATCATAATTTTTTTCACGAGACTTTTTTGTGATGGTATATAAATGGAGGTGACTCTTTATGGGACCAGAGAATTCCCCTTACTTTACATAACTTAATCCATGATATAACAAAAACAGGTGAGTTATAATTCAGCCTTGTACACTTGGCATGAGTAAAAAAGGGCCTTGGAGACCAAAACTTATTTTGTAAAGGGCCATAAACATCTCAATTTCTGCTGTAAAGTTGCACATTTTAACATGAGGCTCTATGGGGAGAGACTCATTTTCAGAGACACTCTAGTGGACACTCAGTGAACTGCAGATGTTGGGATTTCGGGGTCAGCCTCATATTTCCATCTCAAAGGTTTGTTTGGATTGTAGGTGCACCCTCCAATCAGATAAAAGTCAAACAGTGGCTCAGATGCTTCCTCCTCAGTCAAGCCATGTTATGAAAATATATGTATTTTCCTCATTTTTCTCTTAATCCTAAATTCAGTTTGAGAAAAAAAAGTAAAGACAACACTAATGAGGCCTTGTTCAATAACAAATATCTTACTGGTCTGTATGCAAGAGGACTTTCACTCAACATGTTTTCTCTGGCAAAAGAAGCACCTGTGTCACTTTAATCAACCATGAACATCAAAATGAAAATTGCTGTTGTTAATCAGCAATTGTGCCAAACACCTCAACATTTGTGAATATTTGTAAATTATCCTCTCTTTTATTCTGCGTTTGACACAAATGAGGTTCAAATTCACTGAAATGAAGGTATTGGAAAACTACTTGCAGGGCATAGCTTTTTGTCTGAGACAGTTGAGTTGAAGGTTTAGGTAATCATTGATGTTATTTTCCACAGCTTGAGGGAGGCAGTTATTGTATATATGTATTGTACATGCATCATTAATCCATGATGGCAGGCTTCTGGTTTGTTTATGTATGGTTGATCTTGTTGGGTCAATTGCCTGTAATCTACCTCTGTTACGTTACAAATAATTCAACTTGTGGGCTAGATTTTGGAGAAACTATATGGCAGTGTGCTTGCTGAGCTAACAGGCTGCTAACTGGCCAACAGGCTATTTCATTCAGTCCAGCTGCCAATTTGACTGTCCAGTAAAATTTTCTATTCAGAAATGTCTTGCTGCCACTTCAGCAGTGTTGTTTTCATCATATTTCGTCAAATATTTTCGTCAATGTCAGCGTCAAATAAGAGAAATATTTTCGTCAACGAGAACAATTTCGTTGATGAAAATATTTCCCTTTTCTTCCACGACGAAGACGTAACATTGACGAGCTAAACATAAGTCGGAGATGACTAAAATGTGACGAGACAAAAATGCGTTTACGTTAACGGGGCGAGACGAAAACAACGAACAGAGTTGCAAAATTCAGTCAGTTAAACGCTAAACATATAGGAGCAGCTTCAGTCCGCTCTGACAGCTCTCATCAGCCTGCTGTGCTCCTCCAGCACACAGACACACACACACACGCAGGCGCGCGCACACACGTGCAGTTTTGTTTTCGTTGACGATAACGTTGACAAAAATATTTTCGTCAACGTCATGGTTGACGAAAACAACACTGCACTTCAGGAGGACTATGTTCTTTATCTTGTTTGCCTTTATGTTGATTGCCAATTTTAAATACAGTCAAATTTATTAGTTCTCACGTAAAATTGGCATCTCCCCCACTTATCATCCATGAAATTCACTTTTTTATACAGGAGACTAGAGGTATCATTCATGTCTTTTTGGCTCTATGAACACCCTGCACATATGTAAGTTGAAACGAGATATTAATTTCATCTCAACTTACTTCTTCAGACGTGTCCAAACATACAAGATTCCTCTGTTTAGCACTGTTTTGGCATCATTTACTTTATTTATTCAATTAAAAAGTTAAAATACCAGCCAAAAGTCAAAGAGCATACCCTGAACAAGAACTAGAGGAAATGGATCATGTACATGGGACGTGCTGCCAACAAACAGCTGAATCTGTGGCGTGTGGTGTATTTTGTGGACCCAGAGGCAGACTCAGAGACAGACACCAGTTAACAGATGTAATTTTAATGTCCAAACTCAGGGAGAAAAAGGTATGAAAGAAAGTCCGGTTGGCTGTCTGGCTGTTGTGTGGGCTGGAGACACTGTGGAGAAGCAGAGGAGAAGAAAGTGAGAAGACATGCAAGGAATCACAAGGAGCAAAAAGGTCACGAGCACTTCGCCAAGGAGAAGGTCAGGAGAAGCGTCTGTACCACTCAGGAGTGAAGACAATACTCAGGCACTGAGACTGAGGTGGTCTTTACACAAGTACAAATTTGCAAGACACCGTTGAAATAAACTATCAATCAGGTGATATTGACACACAGAGACACGTATTTGTCCATGCTTCGTCTTCTTCTTCATGCCGTTGGTGACGGTGACCTCATAGCACCCCTCCTCCTCTACTCCCCGCCCCCCAACCCATGTTGTCACACACACAGCATGTATGTATGTATGCGCATGCGCATTCTCTATTTTTGGTGCCTTGTGGCAATTTTACAGTGTCACCTTTAGGCCAGGCGTATGTACTACAGGATTTTGCATGGATTTTGCATTGGAATGTAAATGCACTAAGCCTATGTACAATACGATGTGTAAACAGCGATACATGTTTTGGTGCCGACGCCAAGACAACTGGCTTCTTCAAGGGGCTTGATTGCCAATGCAGTGCAGGTGTGGAGTCTCTCTCAGCCTCAGCGACCAGGGGGAAGGGGGAGTGCTCTGAAAGACAGTCAAGCCAGACCAAGGACACAAAGAAAACAGGAGGTTCCACCAAAATAAAACCGGAGATAGAGGCATCTCACCACAGAACCATTAAAAAGGACTTGGTCCTTGAAATGTTCATGCTGATGTAATGTTTTCTATGTATGCTAAAATAAAATTATACATACACTACAGGCCAAAAGTTTGGAAGCAAGATCAGATTCGTATAAAAAAGATCATAGTTTCATTAATATAATTTACAACACAATAAACATGACTATTGTGTAAAGAGTAACTTATCAGAAGACATTTGACTATAATTATTAGGTATTTGAGTTATTGTTGCTTAGACTTTGCTTTCTTTAAAGTAACCTCCTCTGGCTTTAACAACAGCTTGGCATATACTAGGCATTCATTTCACAAGTCTTTTAAGGTATGTTCCAGGGATTGCATTCCAAGCTTTTTAAGTTCATTAAAAAGAGACTGCTGATTCATGAGACACGCTTTTCTGACTGACCGATCCAATTCATCCCGCACAAGCTCAATTGGAGAAAGGTCTGGAGACTGAGGGGGCCAAACCATCTTTTGAAGAACACCTTCCTCTTCTTTTTTGTCTAGGTAACCTTGACAGAGCTTGGCAGAGTGCTTAGGGTCATTGTCTTGCTGCAAAATAAACTTATGAGCCACAAGTCTGAGTCCAGATGGAACAGCATGATACTGGAGGATGGAGTGGTACTGTTCCTTCTTCATGATACCCTTTACTTCAAACAAATCTCCTACTCCATCACCTGCAAAACATCCCCATACCGTGGAACTACCACCTCTGAATTGTGGGTGTAACACATGGCGCTTTCAGACGTTGACCAATTTGTCTGCGGACATAGACTCTGCGTTTTGAACCAAATAGTGCAAACTTGTTTTTAGTCATCAGAAGTCCAATTTTTGTGAGCTTTTGCCTACTCATATCTCTTTTTCTTGTTCTGTGGACGAAGTAGTGTTTTTTTTGCAGATACACAACCCTTCAGACCAGCCTTTCTCAAACATCATTTCACGGTTGTCAGAGATATGGGTTTCGACCTTGTCATGTTGATTTCCTATTCCTATTATTCACGGTGCTGTCTTTCGCCGATCTCTCTTACTGGTGACAATGATATGTTATTCTTCTGCTTTTGTAGTAACTCTCTTTCATCCAGGTCTTTTTCTATCATCATGACTTCCAGGTTCCTCTAGTCTCTTCAAAGTGTAGTGGCCTCCTTTGTTAAACACCTTTAGGCGTTTTGCAATTTCTCTTTCTGTGTATCCTTCTTTTCTCAATGTACAAAGCTGTACTTTTGTTTCTTTACTCAGTTGCTTCTTTCTAGCCATTTTTGCGGTAGTTTGAACACAGTTGAGATTTATCAAGATTTTTGTATGCAGACTCTCAAAAGCCAAAAAGTTTAAGTGAATAATTTAACTGTGATTTGTTTTTTGTTTTTGCACTGAAGTTGTGACTCTTGCAAATAGTAGGGTCTGTTAACTTGAAAAAATGGCCAAATCAATACGCGGTGGATAAAAGCACCAAATTTGGTACACACATTCTTTAGGGTGTATCTTATCATCTCGGAAGGGGTGCCCAAAGATTCGGACCCATTAAATGCCTTTTAAAGGGTAAAATCCAAAATGGCCGCCAAGTTTGAACCATAATTCCTATGATGTGGTCTAATTCTGAAATTTTGGCTTAATCTGCTTATTATAGATTTTCATTTATAGCAAATAGACCAATAATAAAGGATTTGGCCAAAGCCACCCAAGAAAAATGTGTAAAATATGTTTTAAAGACCTTTAAACGAGAATAAATTGGCTTAAAATGTACTCTGAAAGACATGACTTCACACATTAATCCTTCTGTGAGTGATATATTGTTGATGCCAGATACAAAATTGTTTTTTAAAAAACTTCTAGTAGGCCCTATGAATGATTATATATAGGTAATATATTGTGACAACTTTATATGACCATAGATCCAGCACTCATATACTGTATAGGCACAACTTATTTTTAAGCCGAGACATAGCAAGTGACTAGTGGAATCAAAGACACTTACATTACTGGAAAGATACACCTGTGTTCTGTACGACAAGACAACTGACATTGAAAATGTCAATGACCTAAGGAAGGACCTGTTTGCTAAGAAATCTCTGTCAATGGAAAACATTCCTCCGACACAGGCTGCATTGCTACAGCATGCACATCGAGCAGTTTATCAGTCTAGGATTTGGTTCAACAGCTTCTACATCTCCTGACAAATTTCGATGGACCAAGTCAATGATTTGTGGAGACCGCTATGGACACGATTGCCAGAGGCTGCCAAAGTTTGCAGAGAACTCCTTAAGTGTGGCTGCAAAGCTGAGCCCCTCTGTTTTCGGAATGTCGGTGCTGGGATGCTGGATTACCTTGTACAGAATTAAGCCAATGTGCTGGTAAATGTGAATGGGACATGTGAGTCACTTGGCAAAAAGATAAACAATAAAAGACGAAAAGAGGGGAACAAGACAAAACAACAGACAGACAAACAGACAGACAGTAGCATGCCCACTCAGGATGGATGGAGATGGGTGGAGAGATGGAGAGATATGATGACAAACAGACAGACAGACAGACAGACATGAAGATGGATGAATGGCAGACAGACATGAAGATGGATGGATGGATGGATGGATGGATGGATAGATGGATGATGGACGGATGATGAATGGATGGATCCAGCCTCATTGGGAAACAATTCAGATAGATAGATAGATAGATAGATAGATAGATAGATAGATAGATAGATATGATACAAAGATTAGATAGATAGATTAGATACAGTAGATTAGTAGGTAGATGGATGGATGGATGAACGAATGAATGAATGAATGCAGCCTCAATGGGACACAAGCCATTGTTCTACTTGTGCTGGTCCCAAACCCGGGGAAATGCAGAGAGTTGTAATTTAAATAGTTTGGTATGCATTTATAGGGTTTTGAAAAATAATGCCTGCACCGTGAGCGTCATCTCCCTTTCTTTCTGCCCCTTCATTTGCATCATCTATCAATTTAGTCAATGACTCACTTCCTGTTTCAGAGTATTAGGATGACCCTAGGGACATATGTGCTAAATAGTATGCTTCTCTGAGATTCAATAGGCTATTAGAATCAATTGGCAACACTTTAGACGGCCATTTTGAATTTCATCAATAATCCACTTCCTGTTTTTGGCCACTATATCTAGGATGCCTCAGGATGACCCAAGGGTCACGTGTGCCAAACTTTATGATTTCTGGACATTCTTTATGTGTTTTTTTAGTAAACTGTCACCTGTTTAGGCGGCCATTTTGAATTTTGTCAATAACTCACTTCCTGTTTGACATTTTTTTGGGCACCCCTTCTAGGATGTTTTGGGATGACCTAAGGGACATATGTGCCAAATTTCATGCTTTTATCCACCATGTAACGATTTTTCACCTAACAGACCCTACTAAAATGTTTTCAACCCTAAAAATAAAGCCCTTATTATCTTTTGCTGACATATATTCAGCAATGGTCTGTTAACATCAATGTACACTCACCGGCCACTTTATTAGGTACACCTGTCCAACTGCTCGTTAACACTTAATTTCTAATCAGCCAATCACATGGCGGCAACTTAGTGCATTTAGGCATGTAGACATGGTCAAGACAATCTCCTGCAGTTCAAACCGAGCATCAGTATGGGGAAGAAAGGTGATTTGAGTGACTTTGAACGTGGCATGGTTGTTGGTGCCAGAAGGGCTGGTCTGAGTATTTCAGAAACTGCTGATCTACTGGGATTTTCACGCACAACCATCTCTAGGGTTTACAGAGAATGGTCCGAAAAAGAAAAAATATCCAGTGAGCGGCAGTTCTGTGGGCGGAAATGCCTTGTTGATGCCAGAGGTCAGAGGAGAATGGCCAGACTGGTTCGAGCTGATAGAAAGGCAACAGTGACTCAAATAACCACCCGTTACAACCAAGGTAGGCAGAAGAGCATCTCTGAACGCACAGTACGTCGAACTTTGAGGCAGATGGGCTACAGCAGCAGAAGACCACACCGGGTGCCACTCCTTTCAGCTAAGAACAGGAAACTGAGGCTACAATTTGCACAAGCTCATCGAAATTGGACAATAGAAGATTGGAAAAACGTTGCCTGGTCTGATGAGTCTCGATTTCTGCTGCGACATTCGGATGGTAGGGTCAGAATTTGGCGTCAACAACATGAAAGCATGGATCCATCCTGCCTTGTATCAACGGTTCAGGCTGGTGGTGGTGGTGTCATGGTGTGGGGAATATTTTCTTGGCACTCTTTGGGCCCCTTGGTACCAATTGAGCATCGTTGCAACGCCACAGCCTACCTGAGTATTGTTGCTGACCATGTCCATCCCTTTATGACCACAATGTACCCAACTTCTGATGGCTACTTTCAGCAGGATAATGCGCCATGTCATAAAGCTGGAATCATCTCAGACTGGTTTCTTGAACATGACAATGAGTTCACTGTACTCAAATGGCCTCCACAGTCACCAGGGGCCTCATGTATCAACACTTGCGGCGCAAGAAAACCTTGCGTAAGCCAAAATCGGCGCACAGGTCCAGATTTATCATCGCGAAACGAGCGTCGGTTCCAGCGCTAATCAACGCAAAGTCAGGAGGTGGTGTAGAAATTGGCGTTGAGCCGATACTTGCGTTGACTGTGATTCGCACTTTGGCGACGCTGTGTGGCGGTGTTTGGTGACTCACTATGTGACAAGCGTGCACCACATCCCCGTGGCCGAGCAGCGCGTCGCCCCACATGACGAACCAGCAGCAGACGGAGGGATGCGAGCTGATCCCTGCCGGGCCGCCGTCCTCGCGCGGGAGAATCTCATCGCCACAGTGTGAATGGGTAAGAAGTGAATACACAGTTCAATGAGCCAAATTAATTTATTTTCTCCACCAGACGCTCGAGGACATTTACGAGCCGGTCCAGCCGCTCGTTGATCCCCGCGACCCCCCGATGATTTCTTCCTGCGATTGCAGGACCCCCTCCGCGAGGACCCTTCCACTGTGTCCGGGTGGTCCAGCAGAAGCGCCGCGGCTGGTGGACGCTCCACCGCTTGTCGGTGCGCTGATGATGATGCTGGTGCTGGTGCTGGGGCCGGGGGCCGGGGTGGCCCGAATGCCGCTGGTCCTGGCCGACGACTCCGAGCCGGCGGACGGGCTGCCGCGGGCCGGGGTTCCGCAAGCCGGCGACACGGCCGACACATTAATTTCTGTGACACAATAAAAATATTGGTTCATTTCAATTCCTGCTTCTGTGTATCTGTTGCATTTACATCTCTCTCCACGGTATCATAGGTAATGTAATCCAGTATTTAGAGGTCAGTTATGCACATTACAGTTGTTTATTGCATAAAAAGTTATCGAAAAATGAAGTAAAGGGCGAAGAATAAATCACGTCTAAAAATAGACTGAATCCCGACGTTGAAATGAAGTATAAACTTAGACTAGACGTCTAATATACGTCTTTTGCTCAGTGGGATGGCAAAGCATGTGGACATTTGTGTGACACGCCACTTACCCTATAATAATAATCGCAACCACCCGCTGCTCAAACGGCGTGAGGGTCTCCTCCCCCGGAACCCCACCTGTCTGGCCGGTACTCCTCCAGAGGGTAGCTGTACGCCGCTTGACCTCCACCTTGAGGTCCGACCACTTTATTTTAATCTCCGCGGGGGTGCGTGTCTCGCAACCCACCGCATTCACCCTCTCGCAAACTTTCTCCCACTCCAAGCGTTTTTGTTTTGCACTGACGCCACTGGACAGGCTGCCAAACAAAACAGGCTGTCGCTCCTCCACCTCCTACACCAGCACCTCCACCTCACACGCCGTAAATTTAGTTTTTCTTGTCATTTTGTCTGCGTGCGAGGACAGGGAGACCCGATTTAAATAAATCTGCATATTTATAGAAGGGCGTAACGGGGGCTGGCCCAGTCACTCCGACATCTGCGCTCAATTCCACGCTGATTGGGATTTATCAAGGAAACACACGTGGATTTCGGCGCCCGCACACATTGATACATACGGATTTTTTTCAGCGTGACGGACCTTGCGTGCGCTCGTTTCTGGTATGAGTTCCACGCAAGTATTGATACATGAGGCCCCAGATCTCAATCCAATAGAGCATCTTTGGGATGTGGTGGAACGGGAGATTCGCATCATGGATGTGCAGCCGACAAATTTGCGGCAACTGTGTGATGCCATCATGTCAATATGGACCAAGCTCTCTGAGGAATGCTTCCAGCACCTTGTTGAATCTATGCCACAAAGAATTGAGGCAGTTCTGAAGGCAAAAGGGGATCCAACCCGTTACTAGCATGGTGTACCTAATAAAGTGGCCGGTGAGTGTATATCTAAAGGTAAATGGAGTAAAATGGTGCATTTCCATGAAAGCAACATCTGACCATGGAGTAAATACATCCCATGCTGGATTTTAAAAACAGCATTGTGAACAAAAACTTCAAGTTACTCCCAACTGTTAAGCCTGTTATGGCCTTGCTTCCAAACTTTTGGCCTGTAGTGTATAGTCATGTCCTCTTGTCTTGTTGTTATTCTCAACAGTTTGTTTGCCTCTAACTCATGGAGTGTGCACACAATGATATCCTATAGTGTTTGACATGACAGACTGGTCCTATTGGAGGTGCTGGTCCTATTGGACCAGTCTGTTCATATGGCCTTTTTTTTTTAACAGTTTCCGAGTGGTTATGTGGATGTGTACACTTTCAGAAACGTCGAGGTAGAATCTGTTTCTAAAATTATCAGTATGTGTGTGGACATAGAATCCGTCACACTATATTTCAGCTTAGTGATTTCTGCTGCGTGGTTTTATTTTCAAACTGGCATCATAACTCTGCCTCTCTTTTGAGTCACTTTTTCTCTGGACCATGACTGTGTCTCTCCATCGTTTATCCCCCTGGGTGTCTAAGTCATGAGGGGTTTGCAGGTATGTGAAGCCATCGACTGTTGTGAACAAAAGTTGGAAATCATACGCCCAAACCGCATGAACAATAACAATTTCTTGGATGTATTTTCAGGAAATAAAAGTCTAATATAAAGGTCAGTACAGTATTTTGCACATCACATAACTTGATGAAGTGCACAATGTTTCAGATACAGCCATACATTTCTGTTTCTACAGCAGTTATACCTGCTTATGGTTTGAAATGGTTTTACAAATACTACAACTGTGTCTTTTTTGAGATTTGGAGAGCTCTTTTATTTTTGATGCCAATTGAATCCAAAAAAAATGTGGATTACCTTGAAAGATGAAAGTGGCCTCTGAAAACCGACAGTCACAACAAAGACAACATCTTATTCCAATCATATTAACCATATTCCAAACATATTTTGGAGATTTTGTCACATTTTCAAAGAACATGCCATATACGCAACAAAAATCAGAGAACACAGCATGAAAGTGGCGAACAGCTTTGATGTTTTATACATAAAAACGATGTATATATAATTCAAATCTTTCTTATTTAAGGTTGTAAAGAAATCTTTGTTTGAAGCACCTCAATCTTTTTCCAGAATCATTTTACAGATCTGTTTGGTCTGAGAATTATTAACCTCCTGTTAATTGTCATTTCCCACAATTACGTCTTAAGACCTGAGATATCCAGATGGCTCACAGGGATAAGAAAGAAATTAGGAAGGCATCTTATTTTAATGAAAGATAATCCCGCTGTCTTACTTTGAAAGAGAGTCGTGTACCCTGAAATCAAAGCAGTGAGTGTCACACTGGGTGAAACCTCACGCCGTATGTAGTGATGTTATTTCTTCAGTCTGAGTCTTTGCTCACGCTCTCCTGCTGCAGCTGATTACTGGTTCAAGGACGGACTTTGTCTTCCTCAGAGCGAGTAAAGGCCACAGCCCTGTTGATCCACAAGGAAGGGGAAGTGGACTCATCAAAGCCTCCTGAGCTCTTTGAAGGTACTGAGTTCAGCCCATCCGAATCCCTCGCAAGATACAGCAATGAAGTAGAGATAGAAAGAAATAGTTTCAATAATCTACGGTCTCTGAAAACACGGTGCATGGATTAGGTTGGAATTGAAGAGGAGAGCGGAGAATGTATCAGGTGTAAAAGCTGAGGAAAATAATCAGAGCCTGTGCTTTTTACTGACATCTGTAGCTAAAATCATGAGCGCCATATGAAATGTGAAACTGGCTGTGAAAAATGAGTGATTTTCCTTTAGGGGAAACTTCATTTCAATGCATAGACACTTCCCACCTGTGGAGGTGTTGATTACCTGAAAACTCAGCTCTTGTCAACTCCACATTATTTACTGTCTTGCCCCAGGTATTAACAAGAAACATATATTTCATTTTTAACTGCCTCAGCCTCCAGCCCTGTCAGAAAGGGAACCCTAAATTGAGGCCCAAAGTTTTACACATAGACTGTACATACTATGGACAACTCGGCTCCGCCTTCCATCATTATGCGAATTTGAAACCGAATTGCTCTCTGTATTTCTGGGATTTCTCCACTTCCTGGAACAACCACTTGTGCAGTAGTGTTGTACACACTTCACCACTTGCGCAGTAGCATTGGCGGGCGAGTCGCTGTGATGACGCTTGGCTCAAACAGCATCTCTAGTTTTGATTGTGTAGAACAGCAATCTTTGTATGCCCATAGGCTGTATCAAGTGTCAATCATAGAAAACATGAACTCCTAATAATTATTAAAAATGAAGTTGCACAGAAAAAAAGAGGACTTGAGCACAAACCAGTTTTACACTAACTACATGTCAACATCGCAACCAGGGGGCAGAAAAATGTATATTCTGTGTAATTAATTTCTTAAGTTTGTCCACAACTCCATAGGGATTGCTGGAAGAGGCAGGATTTATGACCTATACTGCAGCCCATCACCAGAGGGTGCTGTCCTCGCGATGGCTTCACCCAGTGAGGAGGCAGACATTGTCAATTCTATATACAGTCTATGGTTTTATATATTTGGGGGGTTTAAATGGCTGCATCCTGGAAAATAGATCCTTTTTTTCTGAGCTAACCAGGCACAATGTTTTACATAATTCTGCAAACGGATTACTTTAACCGCTAAAAGTTCCTGTTATGCTCTTTATTCCTGTAGCATGCACCACCTGAAGCCCTGCAACTCAAGTCTTCTTTGCCTGTCTCTTCATATTGTTGTCTCTTCATATTGACTTAATGTACTTTGGGATGTTATTTCATCCAAACCTCCAGATTTACATTTAAAAAAAGCTCATTATAGCTGGATGTGTTGTTGTCCTCCATTTATAAAAGCCCTAGTCAAGAGTCTTTTCATTTACTCCACATTTTTGGAATTGTTCACTAGATATTGTGGACCTCGTCTCTCTATTCACAGGCAGTGGGCTGCACACCAACATAAAGTCCTCTCTGAATGTCTCTTACTGGGTTTGAAGATTTAGCAGTTTAATTTCAGCAAAAATCAAATGCGATTATGTTGATTGGTATTGATATCATGGTCAGATTCAGATTAAGATTATAATGTCCCTGCACATCCCTAGTGGACACACTTCAATTCATCAAGATTAGACTGCAGCCATTACCGCTCATTTCACAAATCTACCAGGGGCACTCATGTTAGTTAATCAGACTCCAAGATATAGAAAAGAAACAGTACTGTGGTAGGAAAATACCATAAATCCCCTGTTATCACGCTAAACACCAGTTATACCCTGAATTATTCTGCTCTTACAGTAACTCTGAAACCACAATGTTAGTGCCTCTGCCCAAATTATGTTTAAAACACTGAGTATTTATGGTAACTTATATGATAGCAAACCCCCTACACACACACACACACACACACACACACACACACACACACACACACACACACACACACACACACACACACACACACACACACACACACACACACTGTGCAACTATGACTAAGTAGGCAGCTGAATATTTTATTCTACCAGCATTTTTCTCATCATCTAAGTCTGGGAGAGAAAATACATCTCCGGAATCAGGAATCATCCAAGATCCAGGAAGAGTGATAAAAAGGAGGCTAAATTTAGATAATGTATGACTTTCCCAGAGAAAAACAGCTTTCTGAATATTTTATGGGACAGATTCACACTTCTCTGATGGAAAAAAAAGGAACGTTTTTCCCTCCTCCAAGAATATACATCAATTAATGACTTTATCATCCTTGTAATGCGTCTGCTGAAGATCCATTAACACATGCTGTTTCTTGTTTTTTTTTTTTTTTTTTAAATTTTTCCTCTGCCCGTCTCTCAAACTGAAAACGTCTTCACTCTGCAGATTGAAACGACTGAGTTTTATGCCAAAGCATCAAAAGCAAACAGGTGTTTGTGAATCTGCTGCCTCTTGGCTTGCTGCCTAATTTCCATAAAATGATGCATTAACATTTTCACTGAATATGCAGCCTCTCCACAAACAGCCGCCTGGTTCTTCCTGTTATTCATTCAAATGAAATTACAAAAAATACAGCGTAGTGGTGCGTCCAAGACACAGTGCAGTGTCCTACACACAGGCAGCATATGGTTTGGGGAATACCGCTCATTCATGTGGTTGATTGATTGTTGTGCCATCGCCATCGAGCTGTCAATCACAGTTAAGCTCCATTGAACAGGACCACCAGACTCACAACAGTAGTAGATATTAATATTTATGACAGGCATGTGTTTTTCTTCAGTGTTTGTCTCATGTAGACTTTTTTCATGTGAATGTCAGGAGATCTGTTGAGTTCAGAAAGCTGCTCGTTCTAACTTATGCCAGTTTTCTCATTGTTACTGCAGTAATGATGCAAGTTTTTGCAGATGACAATGTGTACTATTTGTTTAAATATAAGGGGAGCCCTGATGAGTTGATCACCAAGTTCAGTAGAGTTTCACAGCAAGGAAGAACATTTATGATTATTACATCATGGAAATGATCGACTGCACTCGGTGATCGACTCGTCAGGGCTCCCCCACAAACAAGCGACTGATGGAGGAGAGTGGGTGAGTTGTGTTAAGTCTCTTTGCTAAAGAAACCAGACAAAGCTAAAAATATGTTTGCTGGCTAGTACTATGGCTGGGACCCTATATGTACTGTTGATGAAGTTAGGTGCTGTTCTGAGCATTATTTGTGGCTATAGAGTGGCTTTTTGGTTGAGGTTTTTAAGTGTAGACCCCTGTGTATTGCTATC